CAGAGAGGAAGGTATACAGTGGACTCCTTATGCCATTATACTTGTCCCATCAAGTGCTAGTAGTATTAAGGGTCCCATGGGGAAAGAAATACAGACACTGGACTCCTGAGGCATTCTGTTTCTGCCACTTACCAGCTGTGTGTCTTCAAGCAACTTCTTCAGTCTCTCTGATCCTTATTTTCTTTCTCTGTATGTGAGCATAATTCCACCTACCTTCCTCCAGAAATTTAAAAAATTAAATGCGTCAAATGCCTAGAAATTGTGCCAGGCACATTTATAAGGACCTCAGAAATCATGACAGTTGCTATTGTTATCAGTCCCTCCATGTTCACATGCAAAAACGGCCCAGAGACCCAAGGAGATTTGCTCCCAGATCCCAGTGAGAGTGGAAAGTATGACTAGTGTCAGAGTCAAGACCCCTGGCATTTTAGCCAGACCTGTAAAACTATAGGCATGGTTTAATCAGGGACCGCTGTAGCCAGCAAGTGACATCCATCACACACATCTCGACATCTTTAATTTCTTGTTATCTTAAGGGTATTTTTTTAACCTCTAATGCGTACCATCCTCATCTTACGGTGATTGCAGATGGGCATCGCAGACTTGGGGGAGAAATCATAGATTAGGGTTACAAGGAGCCTGTCTGGTGGGTTTTATATTCCAATTCTCTTTGCCACCTGAGTTATAAACCAGCATGCTCAAGGAACCATTTGTTTCATCCACCCGGTAGTCACAGCACGTGTGAAACTGAATTTGGTGGAAGCTTGAAGAGGTGGCCGTCTTTCCTGAGGCCTGTTTACAATGGTAAAAATGTCTGTCAGTTCATTTAACAAGTACTACTCTAGTAGCTGAACGTGCTCAGTAGTTGCTCCTCGCGGGAGGTATCACACCTGTAAGAGCCAAGATGTGCATATAAATTTTGTAGAATACACGAAAGAAAGTGCAGAGGGCTCTGATAGGCAGAGCCTGGGGCAGGCAGAGCTTCCAGATGGGGGAGTGAGGACGGCCTTCGCAGAGGGGGTGGCCCCTGCACGTGGATCTTGAAGGACGGGTCGCCACTGGTTGAGACTTGAAGGCTGTCTTTAGAAAACCCAACCTGTTCATAAGTAAGGATGCTCTTTGGTTGTCTGTCTGCTGAGGAATTGAGAGAGCAGCCCAACAGGTTAACAGGTGCCGCTCTTTCTTGTTTTCTTTTGAAACATGCACATAAATGTGAAATAGTCTTTGTTTGAATGAGAACACGTCAGAAGGGAACCTAAGATACTTGAGTTAATACCAATCACCTCCATGCTGATGTTAAAACCCTCACCATATGGAACTACGTTTCGAGCTGTGGGGCAATGTATTTAGAAGTATTTGACGACCTCGGGGTTAATCAGAAGCCATCGGACGATCTCAGATACATTCTTAGTGAACTGCAGTGGGTATTATAATACTGGTTCAGCAGTCTGTAGTTATTCAAAGTGGCACGTCCGTGAGCTCAGAATTCAAGGCTGAAGTAACATTCCTTTCTCCCAGAGCCACACTCACACCATTAGTCTTTCAGCCTCCTAGAATGTTCTTTCCAAGCCATCACTGAATGTTCGTCTGGACAGAATTTCTCTGAATGGTTGATGTAATATTTAAAAGGAAAAAAAAAAACAAAAAACCACTCAAACCCTTGATACTTTGAATTTTCAAGTGGACCATGTTTGAACTTTTTCCACCAGCTAGGAAGTCGAATCCATTGAAAATGCTACACAAAAAGAATAGCATATTGGGTTTTTCTTTTTTTTTTTATTTAATTTTATTATGTTATGTTAATCACCATACATTACATCATTAGTTTTTGATGTAGTGTTCCATGATTCATTGTTTTCATATAACACCCAGTGCTCCGTGCAATACTTGCCCTCTTTAATACCTATCACCAGGCTAACCCATCCCCCCACACTCCTCCTCTGTAGAACACTCAGTTTGATTCTCAGAGTCCATAGTCTCTCATGGTTCATCTCCCCCTCCGATTCCCACCCCCTTAATTTTTCCCTTCCTACTATCTTCTTTTTTTTTTTTAACATATAATGTATTACTTGTTTCAGAGGTACAGGTCTGTGATTCATCAGTCTTAGACAATTCACAGCGTTCACCATAGCACATACCCTGCCCAATGTCTATCACGCAGCCACCCCACCCCTCCCACCCCCCACCACTTAAGCAACCCTCAGTTTGTTTCCTGAGATTAAGAATTCCTCATATCGGGCACCTGGGTGGCTCAGTTGTTTGGGCGACTGCCTTCGGCTCAGGTCATGATCCTGGAGTCCCGGGATCGAGTCCCACGTCGGGCTCCCTGCTCAGCAGGGAGTCTGCTTCTCCCTCTGACTCTCCCCCTCTCATGCTCTCTCTCTATCACTCTCTCTCTCAATAAATAAATAAAAATCTTTATTAAAAAAAAGAATTCCTCATATCGGTGAGATCATATGATACATGTCTTTCTCTGATGGACTTATTTCGCTCAGCATAACACCCTCCAGTTCCATCCACGTCGTTGCAAATGGCAAGGTTTCATTCCTTTTGATGGCTGCATAATATTCCATTGTATATATATACCACATCTTCTTTATCCATTCATCTGTTGTTGGACATCTTGGCTCTTTCCACAGTTTGGCTATTGTGGACATTGCTGCTATAAACATCGGGGTGCATGTACCCCTTCGGATCCCTACATTTGTAATACCCAGTAGTGCAATTGCTGGATCGTAGGGTAGCTCTATTTTCAACTTTTTGAGGAACCTCCATACTGTTTTCCAGAGTGGTTACACCAGCTTGCATTCCCACCAACAGTGTAGGAGGGTTCCCCTTTTTCCGCATCCCTGCCAACATCTATTGTTTCCTGACTTGTTAATTTTAGCCATTCTGACTGGTGTGAGGTGGTATCTCATTGAGGTTTTGATTTGGATTTCCCTGATGCCGAGCGATGTTGAGCACTTTTTCATGTGTCTGTTGGCCATTTGGATGTCTTCTTTGGAAAAATGTCTGTTCATGTCTTCTGCCCACTTCTTGATTGGATCATTTGTTCTTTGGGTGTTGGGTTTGGTAAGTTCTTTACAGATTTTGGATACTAGCCCTTTATCTGATATGTCATTTGCAAATATCTTCTCCCATTCTGTCGGTTGTCTTTTGGTTTTGTTGACTGTTTCCTTTGCTGTGCAAAAGCTTTTTATCTTGATGAAGTCCCAATAGTTCATTTTTGCCCTTGTTCCCTTGCCTTTGGTGATGTTTCTAGGAAGAAGTCACTGCGGCTGAGGTCAGAGAGGTTGCTGCCTATGTTCTCCTCTAGGATTCTGATGGATTCCTGTCTCACATTTAGGTCTTTCAACCATTTGGAGTCTATTTTTGTGTGTGGTGTAAGGAAATGGTCCAGTTTCATTCTTTTGCATGTGGCTGTCCAATTTTCCCAACACCCTTTGTTGAAGAGACTTTCTTTTTTCCATTGGACATTCTTTCCTGCTTTGTCGAAGATTAGTTGACCAAAGAGTTGAGGGTCCATTTCTGGGCTCTCTATTCTGTTCCATTGATCTGTGTGTCTGTTTTTGTGTCAGTACCATACTGTCTTGATGATGACAGCTTTGTAATAGAGCTGGAAGTCCGGAATTGTGATGCCGCCAGCTTTGCTTTTCTTTTTCAACATTCCTCTGGCTATTCGGGGTCTTTTCTGGTTCCATACAAATTTTAGGATTATTTGTTCCATTTCTTTGAAAAAAGTTGATGGGTTTTTTCTTAAAATGACTTATGTTAATCTTTTAAAGAACCTCTTTAAAAATAGTTTACCGTTATGCATAAAAAGTCATCAGATGACTGCTTAATAGAGGCGGAGGGCATGGCTTGTAATCATAATTCATTTGGAACAGATAAGCCAAGTGTGGATTTTTTCTCTTCCTATTAGTTTTACTCCTAAGAGGGAACACTAGTAGCCAAAGTTTGGAAAGTTTTCTCAAGGTATACTATTTACATAAGAGCCACTTGAGTACAAGAGTGGAGGCTCTCCCAGATTTTGCCACATTGCCCTCATCTTTCGCTCTACCTGGTAATTCTCCCACGAGAATGAAAGCACTGCTCAGTTTCAACCTCCTCCTCCCCGGTCTCATCTCCAGCTGTTAGAGAAATGCTTTTGTGCCACACATGTCCCTTTCAGATTAAGAAATACCCTCCTCCCCTTGCAACAGTGAGAAGTTTGTCTTTCACAGAGCACACATACAAAACTAGCAAAACTAAGTCACTGAAAATTTAAGTTCATAGGTCTGCATCACAGTCGGGGAGGGATGACCCCAGGGCCTTTTAGGGACACTGTCAGCCAGTCTCAGCTCCCTTCCTTCCTGTCCCAGGAAAGCCTACAAAAAGAAGTAGAAGTCTGGTGTTTACTGTGTAAAGTTAATATGGGGATATTGGTGTGTTCGCAATAGTACCTAATTTCAGAATGCCAAATAACAGGGTTGAAGGGCTTTAGAAATGCTTTCTCCCATATTCATTCTATCAGAACATTTAGATTAAAGAAAAAAATTTTAAATAACATTCTCACACTGCCGATTTGATTTTCATTCCTTGACTTCTGGTTTTTGATACGAGGACACTAAGTAATGCTCACAGAGTCAGATCTTTTTAAACATTAGAAATTAATTTTGCTTGCTTTTGTAATTCCTGTTCTTATTTCAAGTTCCCCCTTTCTTGCTTATATTCCTCTGTATAAATCATAACCTGGAACACTTGACATGATTCAAAATGTATAATTTATTTGTGGAATTTATATTATTTGGAATTTTTACACAGTGGATTAAGTAATTACTTAGCAATAGTTCAGCCTCTCTTTCCGGGAAATAAGTTATTTTAAGCGAACATGAAAAATAGGAGCCCCCGCCCCTTGCATAGATGCATCATGAGAAATGGCTCCCCGGGTAACGTGCCGCCCTTACGTGCCGCCGTGTCCATGGCCAGTATATGTATGCATGTGCTTTCTCTTCCTACAGGCAAGGCACTTTTCCGGGCATGAATCAGAGTGGACTTATGGCTTCCAGCTCTCCCTACAGCCAGCCCGTGAACAACAGCTCTGGGCTGATGAACACCCAGGCACCCCCCTACAGCATGACGCCCAATATGGTGAACAGCTCAGCAGGTAACCACAGCAGCTCCGCGCTCTGAGAGCTGCCCTCCCCTCCCCCTCTGCCCCCCTTAGGCCTGCACCGGTGAGCAACCCAAGCACTGGGATCATTGGGTGAAAAGGGGACACACTCCACTTTTCTGCTGCCTGGAAACCTGTTCAATCTATGTAACTGTTTCAAGACGTGAGGCTCACATTATATTTTGTGTAAATGATTTGAATGCCCTCTGTGTTTTTGTAACGTGTGGGCACATTCCACGGGACTCTGGGGACTGCTTGCTAGATGTATACGCTAAGCTCTTTTTCTCTTTCGGCACCATTCGAAGTATTGGAAGATCCCCCGACAAAATCAATGCTCCATTCAGTAGTGGTGGAGATGAACACTTCATGTTTCAGGGGAGGTGATTGAAGTACTTTTTCACCTTGAAATATATACCTGGAAGTAGTTGTTCAGAAGTGCTGTCTGCAGATTGTCTGTAGTGAGAAATTCTATATTATTTTTTTAATGAACTATTTTAGATTTTCCCTCGTGTGTAACTTTTCCAACCCACTTAGTGACGTCAACAACTGTATTCCTACCGAATCCCATCTGATCGGTGCAGTAAGAGTATCAGTTTGTGGAAACACCAAAATGTCGACACCTGTGCAGAGAGTTTTCAGATTCCTTAGACCCTGAGCCATCTCCTCAAGCCCCGCACTACCCAGCAGTTGAGGGGCGCTGCTCTTTAGATGAGAAAAGGCTGTGGGTCGCAACTGACCTGAACTTCCAGCCCCTGTTGGGGGGGCACTGTCTCGGGTAGGATGCTCTCCTTTGGTGAATGCAGAGCATGTGTGGCAGTTGTGTGTGTCCTGCGATGTTTAACCATGTGTTAGGGAAACACCATGGAGTTAGAGGCTTGACGCTCTCCTAGTACCTTTTCTCATCTCCTCTGCCTTTCGCCACCCCTCTGACCTGTCCGTCTTTGAAAGGCCACCCCAGGGGCTGTTGGTAGAGGCTGGGCTTGCATCCTCTCTGAGCTTCTGAGTTGCTGGTTTCTAGGGTCTAATTTAACAGTGCCATTCCCTGATTGCGTCTCTTTAAAAATATGTGGAAGAGGAAGAAAGAGTGGCAAAATGGAAGGTTTTCAAATAAATAGAATAGCCCTTCCTGATATTGGTCATTAATCCCAGCGACGTGGGTGTTTTTAAACTTGAGATGAAAGGGGAAAGCTCTTAACCAGTCTGTTACCCAGAAACTTCCCCTCCCCTTCTCAGCACTATTCCAGGTAATAGGGTATTTGGGTTATGACATTATGTGTTTTGTCTGGCTTGCTGAAATAAAATTACTTCAGAGCATTGAAACTACACAATAAATATTCACCTACTATTAGCAATACTCATTTTTCCCTTTTTCCTTTGGACCCCAGAACCACAAAAATAACCCACCACAAAGAGATGGCACCACATGCCCTGCCTAAGAAGATTTATGTGTTCCTAAGGAATAACCAATTTAATGGAGATTCGCAGAGAGGGTTTCTTTTTATTATTATTATTATTCAGATAATTCAGCTCTTCGTTATTTCATACAGAGGAAACCTGTTCAATGAAAGGCTGTTTATCCTCACAGTCTTTTGTATGGGCTAGTAGGATTTTTTTTTTATTGCATTGTGTATTTTGAAACACTGAATTTTTGATAATTTAAACATTTATCAAATTTTGCTCTGCACATTTAGGTGATTTTATTCCAGCTCTATAAGTCAAATGCTACCTGATAGAAAGTAGTCATCTAGCTAGCACATCCAAGAATATTGATGATTTAGCATGTACTGTGTATCTATTGATAGGCACACATCAAGCTGCTATCCCTGTGCTACAGTCTCCGAGGGAAACGGGAATGACAGAGGAACCCATAAAGTTATAGAGTGGCTCCTGACGAGTTTTGGTCTGAAGGTGTACTCTTGAATTTTTCTAGAGTTGGGCCAGAAATGGCTTTGATCGTCATCACATCAGTCTACTTGGTTTGGGCCCATGCAGATCAGTTACCAGTGATAATGGCAAAGCATCTTCTCTGTGTGAGGGCACTTTTGGAGAAAGTGAAGATAATACCCATGATGTCCAGGGCTGGGGGTGGGATTTGCTGAACCTCCTTTAGCAGCTTATGCAGCTGGCCTTTCAGCATCCTCTTTGCGGAGTTCAGACAGTTGTGATATAGACGGGGTACAGGGCCAAAAAGCGTCTTCCTGTGTAGTGACAAATTGTTACAGGCTCCAGTGAGCAAGTAATTATTCAAATGGAGTCAGTGTGAGTATGAATGTGACAACTATGTCTTCATTTTAAAATGCAGGGGAAGTGGGGTGCTAAGCAGTGAGGGGGGATTTTTTTTCCCTCTGAAGGAGCTTTTTTCAAAAAAATTATTTGCATTAAAAGATTAGCATTACATAACGCGATGGGCAAAATAATAAGTCATTTATAGCCTTGTTAAATACCCCCTTTTATAATACTCGTGTTATTAGCTATGTTATACTTCTTTGTGTTTCCTTTTATAACATTCATTAGTCATATACTTGTCTTTATATAAACCATCATCTTAAAGAAGACATCTAAATTCCAGAAGATATATCTACCATCTGTGGTTCTAAGTTTGCCTCACGGGAAGCCACTCTGCAAAATGTAGGGCATTTCCATCCGGATAACCTACAGATAGTAAATGAGCAGCCACGTACTGCTGTCGTCAGGCCTTCCTCTTATACAAGAGCCCTGTCAGATTCCAGATCTTTCTGCCAACCTAGCGCCATCCCAAAGGCAGTGTCCTATTGATGTCCTACCAGGATGGGGCGTACTAGCTCCATTAGCCCTTACAGAGGAAAAAAGGCAAGCTCACTACCACAGGATCGACGGCTTCCTTCGGTGTTCTCAAAAATCGAGAACCACGTGTCACCTGGAATGCTTGTTAAAACTACAGATTTCTGGGCCCCAGTCAGAATTTCTGAGGATGTTCCTAACAGACTCCTCAGGTAGTTTTCATAAGTGCATGCTTAAGCTTAAGAACCACCGATTTAGAGATATTTTGCTCAGCAGTCTCCTGGCAGAACTCCTGCCTGCTTTGTGTGGCATTATCTATTTACCAGATAATTTGCTGTCTTGAATTTTAAAAAAAGTTTACAAAAGAGGGCACGTATTGAATGGAGCACTGGGTGTTATACGCAAACAGTGAATCATGGAACACTACATCAAAAACTAATAATACAATGTATGGTGATTAACATAACATAATAAAATAAAAAAAGAGGATCTTGAAGAAAAAAAAAAGATCTAGCACCATTAAAAAAAAAAAAGGCTAGCATATAAATCTACCAGATGGATAGGTGTTTTCTGTCTTGAGGCTTTAGGATCCTTCCCTAAGGAAGTTTTGGGTCTTTTTTTTTAAAGATTTTATTTATTTGACAGAGAGAAACACAGCGAAAGGGGGAAGGAACACAAGCAGGGGGAGTGGGAGAGGGAGAAGCAGGCTTCCCGCCGAGCAGAGAGCCTGATGCGGGGCTCGATCCCAGGACGCTGGGATCATGACCTGAGCCGAAGGCAGACGCTTAACGACTGAGCCACCCAGGCGCCCCAGAAGTTTTGGGTGTTTAGCACCATTGCTAGTGGTTGGTTGTCTAAGCAGTTTATAAGATCGTTAGGTATTTTGTTTGGTTGCTTGCTTGGAGCTAATGATCTTAGGTGAATTGCTGTCCTCCCTCCTCCCCCAAAGACATAAAAGGTGTAATAAATGATGAAAACCATATCTCTTCAAGGGGGAAGAATGTATACTGGGATTTTGCCAAGTCGGTTGGTAGCTGTGGACTTGGTCTGGGGCTGGGGCTTTCTGGAGAGCATAGCGAGCATACTGGGTTTGCTCAGGTTGCATGTGCCTATAACGGAGAGAGAGGGCGTGGATGGAAATTACGGTGTTGTGCATCTCCCTTGCCCTGCCCCTGTGGAGGTATGTCAGCACAGAGAGGTATCAGAAGGTTCTTTCAAGGCCTTGCTGATCCGGTCCAAGAGAGAGAAATGTTTCTTCTGAGCTTCCTTCTCTCATACCCTTCATACGTGTTAATGTTCACGGTGCTCTTGATGTATGTGCCACATATAAAAAGAGTCATGACTATCTACAGATGTATGCACATAGATAGGCCCTCCTGTGTTTTCAGAAACAAGGAATAAAAAATTTTGGCCGTATGCTGTATTGTTTACCGTGAAAAGAACAAACCGTATGTGTGTTTCTGGTCCCATTTCTCCATCGTCTGGGGGTGACTTTGTCGCCTTATAGGGAGACTAAGTAAAGAAAGCTGAGCGAGTAAGAGTGAATGTTTGAGTTCAGTTTTGCTCACACCATATGCTCTTATGTTCCTTTTGAAGATATTAAATCTGGGGTGGAGTAGCTGCCTTAGGACTTTGACCCACACTTACTTTAGGAAATCATTCTAACTCTTAAATTTCAGGGGTAAAGCCAGAGGCTAGCGCCTGAAATGTATTTACAGTACTCACACAGCACTTTCTGCAGGCCCGAGTTCTTTACTGCCCCTTTTTATGTCTGAACTTTAGATACTGGATTGCTGATGTCAGTAGGAGAAAGAACAGGGCCTTGATTTAACACATCCTTACCACAGTGGTGGTCTTTCTCTTCTGGGAAAGGAGAAAAAAAAATAGTGCTCCTGGACTGTCATTGTCCAGGGAGGCCTATAGCTCTTTGCAGTGATTCATTGAGAATTCTGGTAAGAAGTCAAAAATAAGCATTTCAACAAAAGGAATAGTAAAAGCCACAGTAAGGAAAGACCTTGTGATCCATTTAGTAAAATAAAATTTGCAGTGTAAGGCAGGAGTACTAAATAAAACCATTACTCTCAATCCTATCCTTATTTATCTCTCAAAAATCATAAAGCAGTGCCACTTTTGACCATTTTTATATCTGCATACCCTAAATGCCCATTTAAAAATATATAATAGAGAGTGAAGAAATTTGGGGAATCTCAAACCAACAGATATGCATAAATTCATGTGAGTCTGATTTTTAAATCAGTATAAATTATTACCATTCATTATAATAATACATCTTAGCCTACTTCTTTATGCTTAAAAACTGTTTTGGGGTATGTTAACACAGTGAATGTATGAAGACGAATATTAGTATTTTCTGTCTCTCAACAGTAATATTCAGGCATAATTTGTTCCAAATGCTAACAGAACTATTGATTATAACCTTTGAAGAAGCAGGCCTTCGCAGAAGCCACGTGTCCGTGACTTTGCCACGTTCTCGGGGTTGTGTGGCCGTCGTTCCTCGGTGACAGCTCTGAGTAACTAGCAAGGACGTGAGGACTTTCATAAAGAAGCTCCTCCTCCCCCGCTCGTCCTGCTCTGTTTCCCCCTTCTGTTCTTCTAAAAAGGGTGTTTCTCAATGTACGGATTTACTGATCCTGGGAGAGAAGACTGCACGAAAGCAGCCCAGCACTCTGAGCGGGGCGGTCCTGGGGCGGTCTCTCTCAGCTGCTTTCCTGGGGTTTCACACATTCACCAAAATAACAGCATTTTTAGCTGATCCCAATAGATTTTTCTCTGCAGCTGCATCACTTGAAAAAGCTTTTTGTTCCAGTTCTTAAAGTCTAAGTATTGAAAGTAATTTGGGGGGGAAAAAAAAAAGAAAGAAAGGGAAAAAAAATCCCAATTATGATTTGTGTGCGTGGTGATGACTTCAAGGGCTGGCTGGCTGCAGACGGGCTCGGAACCGCTCGCCAGTGAGCACGTGCAGACCGGCGCTTCCCCGGGTGTCAGCGAGCGTGCCGCCGGACTCCTGGGCACGTGGCGGGGTCGGCGTTTTTGGCAGGACCTCTGGTCTCAACCTGCCGTGATGCTAACGATATTAGCAAATTAGCACCACCAAGCGTGCCAGCTAATTCGCCAGAGCCCTGCTCACTCTCTCACTGCTGTAATTAAAACTAATTATTTTCTAAAACATAGTAATACATGAATATGTGCAATAATCATTTTGTAGTGGGCAATCTGTGGAGCCTTTTTTAAAGCGGCTGCTTTTTTTTTTTTTTTTTTTTTTTTGGCACATTATGCAACATGCGCACCGCCTCGGTTGAGCCAGCACTTTTGTTTGCAGAATGCAGAACGGGTCCTGTGCATAAAACCTCAGGTTTATTTTATGTTGAGATAGGAATGTTTCCTGGCTTTCGCTCATTGACAAGGCTCTTAATTCTCTCCGTTCTCTGCTCTCTTCTGCTTCCCTCCCTCCTCACACATCTGTTTGGTGTCCCACTCCCAGCCCAGTGTTGTGCAGATGGTTTTCACAGTGGGGTTCTGTAGAAATTCAGCTGTTATTCCCTGGATATCTACACTGATTCCCTACTGTAGCCTTGTTCTTCCTTTAAAAAGAAATCCAAGCCCTCCTTTTCAACCCAAAAATATCTATTCATAGTCATAATAAATGGGTATAAATCAGTTGTTCTTTGGTGAACCTTTCCTTCTAAATCCTAAGTGAACTTGATTGAATTTCTGAGCCTTGAGATAGAAAATGAGTTTTTCTGGGAATCGGAGCGTTGAGTTGACTCTTGAGCGGGTGTGGGTATCTGACCTGGGCATTTGAGCCGCTGCTGGGGATTGATAAATGTGCACAGAGCCCCAGACTGAAAGGAAACCAGCCGCATTGCAAAATAATTAGAAATCCTGTCCTTCAAAAATTACTTCTGATTATTGTGTTTGAAGTCATTCGTTCCGACTGTTTTCCATTACTGCTGACTAGGCCACATGCGATAGATAAGACTTTCAAATGAAGCAATATAAAATGTCAAGTGATTTTGCAAACTGTAGATTCTATAAATTTGGGAAATTAAGAAGGCATGAAATCCTCCAGTCACCACGTAAAAAATACACACACCCAGTATTTCCTTTCACTCCGGATGAGCAGTTGAAACATTGGACTTAACTTCCACCTGTCACCTACTCTAGTGAAGCTACAGTAATTTTGAAAAAATAATATTGATATGAGTTGCCTTTCAGTGGTTTGGGTGTTGAGTAAATGATTGTGTTTTGTTTTGTTTTTTTTAAGTTAAAAAAGGACTGGCAGAATGTCGTGCTATTTAGATTTCCAGAAAACTGGTGTGCCCTCAGTTACAATTTCTCTTTTCTTCTCTTCCTTCAAGGGAAATTCAAGTGCCCCATGGGTCACTCAGTAACTTGTGTTAGCAGGAACACAGCCCGATGCATCACATGTATAATCCTAAACTCTTTCTCCTGTTTTCGATTAGCATCTATGGGTCTTGCAGATATGATGTCTCCCGGGGAATCCAAATTGCCCATACCTCTCAAAGCCGACGGTAAAGAAGAAGGCACTCCGCAGCCTGAGAGCAAGTCGAAGGTACTTCCTTTCTCCTCTGCACGCGGTGTGGGATCTGCCTTCCTGCAGCTGCCGTGGTGTTCTAGTCACTGGTGTCAGCCTCCACTTTTGTTTCCATTTGGTTTCTTCTCTTCTGCATGCGTCCATCTCGTGCACCACGTTTGTAGTTCTCCTCTCTTTCCCCACCCCCTCCATGGTGTGGATCTGAAAGTTACTAGTTCTTACGGCATTGAACTCATGGTGGTGGGTGAGGGGCGGAGGGACAAGACCCACCGAAGAGAGATGCTTTGGGGGTGGGGACAAGGAAGGGGTCTTGCCTGGTTTTGATACTTGCAGCCATTTTCTCTGCCTTCAGTTTATAGCTTCCTGTTTTGGCCGCCTCAGCAACAACAACATACTTAATATTTTGCTTTCCTGCCTTATTTGATAAATAAGGTGAACAGCTTTTTTTTTCCTTTCTTTCTTTCATAAGGGGTAACCCATGCTTAGCATTCCATGTAAGCTTGAAGTAAGCATGGTGGCATAGTAGCCTTATCCAGCATCCAGCAAACTTACCAAATTATACTAATTAAGAATGTTGTTTTAATACCTTTATATGTGTGTGTTTTCGTGTGTTTGTTTGTCCATGTCTTTATATATATCCATTATATATAAAAATTAGTCTGTTAAACTGGATGTGCTTTTTGTTATTTTAAATAAAGTTTGCCCTACCTTTGTCATTTTTTTTTTTTTATTCCTCTACCACAGGATAGCTACAGCTCTCAGGGTATTTCTCAGCCCCCAACCCCCGGCAACCTGCCAGTCCCTTCCCCAATGTCCCCCAGCTCTGCTAGCATCTCCTCATTTCATGGAGATGAAAGCGATAGCATTAGCAGCCCAGGCTGGCCAAAGACTCCATCAAGCCCTGTAAGTGGCTCTGGTTTTTTTGTGTTTTTTTTTTTTTTTCGGTTTTTGGGGTTTTTTGATAATTAATTAATTCTACTTTAATGCTTGCTTATTTATTTGTTTTATAAGACTTTTTCTTCATAATTTATCCATGAAAGGGTTTTCTTGATAATTATACTAGTAACGAAATGAGTAACGTTGTGTAAATCATAGAAGTTGATTTCTGGTAATAAAACGGCTATTATAAAGAAGCACCTCTGTACAAAGCATGTGATTGTGTTACTGGGTCCAAACTCCTTCACGCAGTGACTTTGTTTAAATGTCTGATCCGTTGTGCACTTACAGAAGATCTTCAAAACGAGTTACTTCTCCATTTACATGGGAACTAATAGCAGCCACAGAGTAAATGACAAATTTGGCCTTTGGCCTAAATCTTTCATGGGCTGTTGTATCTGAAACATCTTATTTCAAAACTGCCTACCTGAAAATATAGATATTACACTCTGGGCATGGGTTAGCATAATATCAGCCCTGCTTTGTTTCAATCCACCTGTCAGAAATTAACAGAAAAGGTGTAGGAATGTCACCACATGTGAATATTTGGAATGCTACTTTTGGATTAATAATATGTACCTACATTAGAATCAGTCGAGATAGAAAAATTACCTCCTGCACAAGATTGCTGATCATCTTGAAATTAAGTGTTGATTTCCATATGATATGTAAAAAACAAAAATGGTGATGTGCCTGTAAGGGAATTTTTTTTTTTTTTTTAGCCTTAATGTTCTTCTGTCCATAGAGCTTGGCCTTTATTTTCCTACTGAAGAAATTAATTCTGTGCCATTAAAAAAAAAAAAAAAAAAGAGTAAGAATGGCACTGTAGTAACTTTTATTTTACATTCATATAGGGAATCAAAAGATCTGTTTAAAATAAAAAAAAAAACCTTAACATGCAATTACTTGCCAAGAAGGCTTAATTAACACGCTAATTTTTGTAAGACGATGTATTGAAGAGTACAGCTCAGGAAAAGCAAGTTGGAGGGAAGAAGACTCTATGTGCAGAATCTGGCAATCTAGTCAAAACCCCAAAAGGAGGCTGCTATTAATTATCCATTCACTGGTTTAAACAGATAGAGCTGAAGGTTTGAAGGGTTGGTGGTTCCAGTAAATGTTTGTAAAATTCATGTGGAGCTCGAGCATAACCAGCATTTTCCTTTTCAGAGGAAGAAAGGGCGATATTCGCTGTTACCTTCTCTGTAGACATGTTTCGCTTTTGCAACAACCAAGATGAAATGAAAAATGCTCTAGGGCGGGTTAAGCAGAACTAACAGGAAGGGGGAGTGCAAAGCCTGCATTTTGATGTCCTTGTGTTATTGGCTTTGAGTCTCAGAAGGCAGCCAGCGTTATGGGGGTTTTCCCCATAATCTACCCCGGTGTTGTGTTTTGTTTTGTCTTAATCATAAGAAAAGCATTTTTGAATCGGCCTACTGTCAAGTTAACAGGTGGAACTCAAATTATAACTTTTCGAAAACATTTGTATGTTGGCTCAGAGGGAAAAATTTCAGAGGTTGAAAATAATAATCTTTAAAACCTTAAGGTAATAATTAAGAATAGTAAGTTATGAAAAACAAAGACTACTAATAGATGATATTACGTGTTTAAAAAAATAAATTAACTAAAAAATAAAAAAATAAAAATTCCACATTGCCAACTCTGGATTTATAAAGATTGAGTGAGATATTTATGATATTTTAACTTAACTAATCAGGTTATCTCCATACAATGAGTCCTGTAGGAAAGAAACTTCTATCCAAAAAAAAAAAAAAGCCCACTTTCCACTTAAGTGTAAGAAAAAAGTAAAATGAATTGTAGACTTCATTTTCTGATTATAAAACAATTGTGCTTAAAATTGTATATTACTTTTTCCTTTTTTCTAAATATTTCAACATACATTATCTCTTCCTGTACCATAACCATTTTATGTTTAAGAATTTATGGGGCACCTGGGTGGCGCAGTTGCTTAAGCGTCCAACCCTTGGTTTCGGCTCAGGGCATGATCTCAGGGTCGTGGGATCGAGCCCCGCCCCGGGCTCCACGCTCAGCTCAGAGTCTGCTTGTCCCTCTCCCTCTGCCTCTCCCCCCATTCGTGCTTGTGCGCTCTCTCTCTAAAATAAATAAGTAAAATCTTAAAAGGAAAAGAATTTACAAGCAAACTTCTGGCTCCAGCGGTAGAGAAGGACAGGAGGAGCTCTGCATTCAGAACGTGGCCCCTGCCTTGGATGAGATGCTAATTTAGGAAGGGTACCAAAAGCGTTGGGAAGGAAGGACCCGAGAGCATCTCTGCTGTCAAATCACTGCTGACATGCACAGTTTAGGAATATTTAACTGTCCTTTCTGAGACACAACTTCAGTTTGTACTTCAGATTGCTCTTCCCAGTGTCTCTGCTAAAACCTGTCTCACAGCAGGCCCGAAATGGACCACATGATAAAGATGTTCCATGCTTTGACAGTGTGCTATGGACCAACATTGTTTTGTTATGGAACGTTCTAAAATAAAAATAAACATTTGCACATACACATATTACCAGGCATATGGTAAAGACTGCTGAAATGTAAATCTGCCTGAAAGATTTGAGGAAAACTGTACTTACAGACTTAATTAAACTACACGCAAGGAAAACATTTGTGGCGCTGTAATGTCCTGCTACAGTCTTTAGCGATCTCCCTTCCCTTTTCTTGGGTCCATGACACTTCAGGGCACTAGGATACAGTTTCTACAATGCTGAAGCAGTGTGAGGTGGTCCCAGAGACCTGGAAGGGTCATCCCATCTTTCTGTGGGGTGGCTTGTTGGCCTGAGGTCGGTGGGTAGACTGTATGATGGCACCTCCCCAAAGGTTACAGCAAAGCCAATGTCTGTGAACTGAAGAAGGTATGTGTTGAGCCCAATCAGCAATAAAGTACGTACCCTTTATTTCCTAACACTTTTGTTTCCTTAACGTCCTTCTTCTCTGTTCAGACACCCACATACCGACTTTGATAACTGGCTAGGAAACAGACCTTGAGGCTGGGAGTGGAGGTGGCAAGGGCCAGCCATAGGCACGATGATCCCTTCTGTTTTCAGTCTCGTTAGATTGCGTCAGTGTCTCCTTAGCACCTTGATCACTGAAATCCCGTTTATAGGATATTTTATTCAGCTGCGCATTCTTCCTTGGAGGGTGCCAGACTTCTCAGACCTTCTTTGTCCGTCTGAGTACCCGTTCACAGAACAGATCCGATAGCAGCTACCCCCAGTGTGCTCACGGTGATTCAGAATCAGCTCAGCCCCTGCCTCGTGGAACTTAAAATGTAGTCGGGAAGACGTAGGACAGACCAGTAATCCCATGCAAAGCATACACTTTTTATAAGCTGTGTAACCAGGGGCCACGGACGACAAAGTGGGTGACAAGTGATTTAGATGAAGGAAGCTCGGGTGCCTGGGAGGCCTCTTCTGGGACCTAACACGTCACCTCAGGCCTGACCACTTTCTTTCCATAGAGATGCATTTTCCTACATTATGGTGCCATAAAAATCCTTAAGTCTTTTTTAAAGATCTAAAAACGATGCTATGCAAAACAAGACAATTCAATTAAAAAAAACATTATTTTCATTACGGTTTTCTAACTTTATGAGAACAAAATGAGGTGTGCAGAAGTTAATTAAACTCAAGTTCATTTAACAAAGGATGGCAAGAAAAGTGAAAATATATATAGCTAAACTAAGTATACTGTTATTTTAGGCCCATCTCAGGTTATGAGATACACTCATTTCATAAATGGGAACAAACATCTGCGTAGTCTCTCTGCTCGGGTCCCGATTAACTATCCTCCCAGAAGCCTTCCCCAGTTTGGCCTTGGAGAGGACCAGGCCAGAAATGGCAGGTGGATCTTCCATTCAGAATTTTGGTAGAGACACTCAAAGTAATTTTAAATCGAAATGACTGCTTTTATTTCTCTTACCCTGAATTGAATGTCAAACTTTTACTTCTCAATTTTTCAGAAATGAAATGCAAGAGAGAGGTTGGCGGGGGGGGTTTTATTATTATTGATTTTAGGTGATAATGCTTTTTTCCTCCTGTTCTATTTCTAATTTTTCAAAAAACATCAGACCCATTTTTTACTGCTCCCCAAAAGGAAAAAAATATTTTTAAACTAGCATTTAGAAACCTCTTCGTAATAACTACCCCATTAGTGATGACAAAGCTTCTGGAATGTGGTATAAAATGCAGTCGGACAGTTTCTTTTCCTAGTCAGATATTCCTTGGGTACAAGAATATGGAAGAGAAAGTTTAAGAACTTATCATTTGGATATACAGTGTGTTCCACTTTCTGAGTATGTATATGGACATATCGCTATATATATATGAATATGCTCTAATCTAAAGTAAAATGTTTAAGTGACTTACTGTTTAACCTTGGCATCAGTGTAAATTCTAAAAGATGACACTTTTTTTATCCTACCACCCTAAATTTTTTATTTACATCAATTTGTATCACCCTTTTTTTTTTGTATTTAATGTAAAGATTTTATGCCTCAATAATTCTGAGTCTGAAGGCTTAAAATTTCAGCAGGAGTAGCTCAGGAGAAATACACATTAAGTGGGGGAGAAACTGCCACTCACCAGCTTTGTTAGTTTCATTCTCAGGCATCCTTTCTGAGGTCCTACTTTTATTGGGGATCCTTTGCTAAATAAAGTAATATCAGACCTCAATGGCAGTCATGTTATTTAACCCCCAAAATTTCAGCTATGTGTTTAATATTGTTAAGCTAAATGTAATGGAAAAGAGTTAAGAAAAACTCCCATCTAAAACAATGGCTATCCAATTGCAAATGATAACTGGTAAATACAAATGAGGAAATGCAGTCAATTCTTAGTCTAAGGAAATCTTCATTGCGAATTTAGAAGTAATTTTTCACAATAACCCTGGAGTTGCAAAGAGTACAAGTACACAAATCACTGTTACAAATATAGAGACATAAAAGAAAGGAAAGATAGACATTTGAGCTGTTTAGGTCCAGAAGTATTACCTTTCCAGATCACGTAACCCGGAAGGTGGGCTTTGGTTATGCAGAAACAGTAACTTTTGACATTTTAGTATCAGCTATAATTAGAAAAACAAAGACAAGAATTAGAGCATCAATATAAACCACATGAGCCCTAAACCCATGTGTGTAAAAGTAAATGTATATTTTTATCCATAGATGTTCAGGGAGTATGAAATAGCACATGTGTTTGTGATTAAAGCATGGTTGCCTAAGAAATCTGTTTAAATAATTCTCTAGGGGCCCCTTGCCTTGGTAGAGAAATTCAAGAAATCTTAAGTAGGGAAAGCTAGTCATCATGAGCAAATGCCAAAACTTTAGCTGGCCACTAGTCTATAAAGCTTGCCAATGAGCACAGAGCCCACACCACCGGTCCCTGGGATTTGGGACCTACCTTACATTTTCCAGCAAGTCCCATACCTGCTTTCCTCCATATGCTGTAGCATTTTAATGAGGACACACATTAGCCATTCTTATTTTGACAAGAAGTAAGAGGCCATATAGTTTTGGGGGCTCTATAATATTACATACATGTGAAATTTTAAATTCACTGTGATTATTCTATGAGCGAGCACCCTTTTATTGTTAAAAATGACGTGAGGTGTCATTGGAATCATGCCTTCTGGGATTCAACGCTTATATCAAGTAAAAAAAAGGTTTTTGCTTTTTTTTGTTTTTGTTCTTTAAGTATGTAAAAGGGAGTTTGGGCCCTTTATTTAAAGTCAAAGTAAAGTCTTAATTAAGAAAATGTATAGTTTGTGCCTGAACTAGTAGCCTTCATTCCTAATTGTTGTGTGATAGCAATAGTTTTTAAATTTCTTCTCTTCTTGTATTTGGTAGCTCATTACTTTCTTCTCACCTTCTTCCCTTTTCCCTCTGCCTGCCCCTACCCCACCTCCAAACGCTCCTTCTGGGCACTAGAAGTCCAGCTCCTCCACCACCACTGGGGAAAAGATCACAAAGGTGTATGAGTTGGGGAATGAGCCAGAGAGAAAGCTGTGGGTCGACAGATACCTTACCTTCATGGAAGAGAGGGGCTCGCCTGTCTCGAGTCTGCCCGCCGTGGGCAAGAAGCCCTTGGACCTGTTCCGGCTCTACGTCTGCGTCAAGGAGATTGGAGGTTTGGCACAGGTGAGAGTACCTGAGTGAGTCCACGCGGAGACCCTGCACGTAAGCTCTCCCTGCGGGCTTCTTGGAATGTGCAGACTCAAACTTTTTTTTTTACCCCCCATAAAGAAAAAGCTAAGCCTGTGGGCTCCGTGTCTGGTGCTGCAGGGGAGAGCACTAGGGCTTGGGACCCTGGTCCTGCCACCAACTCGCAGGGTGACCTCGGCAGGTCATTTATATGGACCTCCATTCTCGTCTGTGAGGTGACATGGTTGGGCTAGATTTTTCTTTAGGTTCCCTGACCGCTGTAGAACTCTGTGGGATCTGCAAGATGCCATAGGAAACACTCCAGAAATGTTCTGCGAATGACCCAATTAATCGTCTCAATCGTTCTAAATCCAATTCACTCTTGCCCTCTGTCTGGAGCAACTGATGCCGCAGGGGCGGCGCCAAGTCTCAGAGGGCACTCATCTTCAGGGCTCGGCAGCGCCTGCCCTCTCAGAGTCAGTGCCCAGGGGGCCACACTGTCCTCACCAGGGTCCTGGCGCCGCTTGCAGCATGGTGTCTAGTTCCAAGCACGGGTCCTGCAAGAGGAACAGGGCAAAGGGTGTCCCCGGATACGTGCCCACTGCGTGCTGGGCACTGTGCTTTACCTTTGTTCTGGCTTTGTCTTTCTGAATACCCTTAAAATGCAGGAGGCATCCGCCCTCAAGAGAGGAGGAAGCTGTCCCGGAATGAGGTACGATCATGTGGCCCAGGGCACACAGGGTAGGCGCGGGCCCGGCCTGCTCATTCTGAGACGTGCGCTCTTCCCATCCACCGGCAGCTCTCATTAGAATGACTTGGGGAGCTTTAAAAACCTGCCAGTACCTGGGCTCCCACCCAGATCAGTGAGAGGAGCTGCTCTGGGCCCAGGGGATCTAGGGCACAGTGTGGTCCCCTGCGCTCTGGCCAGGTGCCACGGGTCCAAGAGTGAGTCGCCTCATCCACAAGTGTCACCGAGGGCCCGCCCTGGTCTCAGTGCTGTGCGGGTATGCAGGAGAGGCCTTTGTTCTCAGCCTTCCCTGGGGTGCCTCATCCCACCGGAGACCCGCGGTGTACAACTGAAACAGGGCTTGATTCCAGGCTTTGCGGAAATGGATGGTAAGTCATACAGTGCAGACCAAGTGAGTGAGAGTCGGTCCGTGGAGGGAGAGCTCAAGATGCACACCTCTCCCCTGCACCTAGACCCCCCCAGGCTTTCCCCTCTGCATCTAACCCCCTGGCATAGAATTTTAGAATCCTCGGGACACTCTCACCCTCAAACAAGTATAGAGAGTGTCTGGACACCTTACTTAGACTCTGTCAACGGTGTGGGTTACCGTGTTGGGTCTGCAAGTAAGGCTCGTTGCTGGCCTAGCTAACAAGGGAGGTTTGATCATAGCTGTGATGCACAGCGGTGAGCCACTTGGCCACATTGTCGCTCATACCCCATCTCGATATCTGGCTGGTGGCCCTCAGATGCGGTCGGGGCAGGTACTTGCAGTCACTTAGAGATCAGTGCAAAGCCTGGCTTTTCAGGGTGTCCAGGCAACAGCCTGCCCAGCCCTTCTAAAGCCACCCGCACGCCTGCTTGTTCGTTGCAGCCTGGCATTAAGTGCCAAAAGTGGAATTGGGCATTTCGCGAGCAACCTGAGCTTTGTTTATCATGCACCATTTAGTACTAAGTAAATGGACATAAAGAGCTTTGTGAGAAAGTTTGAATCCAAAAATGGAACATTTCATTAAAAAAAAAACCCACTGTTCCCTTAACCCTTACTGTGCTACTTAGCACAAGGCGTACATACCTAAAGGCAAAATAGTCCCCAAGTATTTGCGGGTCTGCATGTTTCCTTCAGGCATTCATCCTTAGATAACTCTGGCCCAAGTGGGAATCAAAAGTTAATGCCCCACATCCTTTTGTAGCATTTCAGGCTTTCTCTCCCTTTTTTTTCCTCCGCACTTTGCGCTGCCTTCTCTGCAGCCTGAGTGTATGTGGGAACCCTGTGTCGTCCCCCGTGCAGTCCCCCATGCCCTGCGCCTTCACCAGCTCACTGGGCCTGCCACGTGGTCAGCTGGTGTCCTGGCAGAGCCACCAGGGCTGATGGCTGGTGTGGGCTGCCCCCAGTGTCACCTCTGCCCAACACCCTAGGAATGCCGCCTGAGAGGAGGAATGCGGCTAGAATTACAGGCTCGTCTTTCTGGGAGCCTGTGGCTGTTGGAAGGGAACACTGTTTTCCATATCAAGTCTCAAACACTTACATTGCAAAACAGTTATGTTATTGCTTTTTAAATTTGTTTTCAGATGCCTTTTGTTGATGTTGTTGTTGTTAAGATGAGAGGTGGGATGGGGGGCAGTGGGAGCGTACGTTTGCCCGGAGAAGAGGGCTGGCTCAGAGCCACAGCGGCCTGGAAGAGTGTGAGGCATTAGAAGGTGCACCAGGCAGAAGAATCTCGACGAGCAATGCTTTTTATGTAGCTATCAGCAGGTCCCGTAATGGTTTTATAACTGTAAATGCTGTCTGTGCACACTACTGAGTGGGAGTAATGAGCATTAGTTAAGAGAGGCAAATAAAAAAAAAAGTAAACCAAGACATTAAGTGCTTTTTTTGTCTCCTGGCTTTAAACAAGCCACTTTGCTGCAAACCAATGATCCTGCCTTTTTTTTTTTTTTTTTTTTTGCTAGGTCAATAAAAACAAGAAGTGGCGTGAGCTGGCAACCAACCTAAATGTTGGCACTTCAAGCAGCGCAGCGAGCTCCCTGAAAAAGCAGTATATTCAGTACCTGTTCGCCTTTGAGTGCAAGATAGAGCGCGGGGAGGAGCCCCCGCCGGAAGTCTTCAGCACGGCCGAAACCAAGAAGCAGCCCAAGCTCCAGCCGCCCTCTCCTGGTAAGTGCGGGTACTGCAGTTGTCGGCGGGGAAAGGCAGGGGCCACCCGCGGCTGGACACCACGAGTCCCTGCAGCCCCTCGGGGGTCCTGAGAAGGCCGCTGCCTAGGAAAGCAGACAGAACGCGGGATCTTTGAGGACAAAGGGTGTTTTGTATCGGACCCCCCGTTGGCAGTGCTTAAGGGAAGAGAGGATACAGTCCGGGCCTACACTGCAAAGGCACCATTCTTCTGCTTTACCTTCCTTGGTCGAGAGAGACTGGAATTCTGAGCTCTATGCCTCTATTCCTTCTGCAGGTATTTCAAAACACTCCGTCTAACTCCCCAGTAACCTGTGCAAACACTTTAGTGCTCCCAGAAGACGCCACCCTGCAGTGTAGCCACCAGCTCCTACCACTTCTGCTTCTGTCGGGGACACTCTGAGCTGTGGGTCAGCAAAATGAAATCTGGACGCAGTTCTCAATGTCCCCTGCCCAGCAAGTCCTCGCTTATAGGGAATCCAGCGAACCTGGCGTGGGAAAGGTCCACGCAGCCCTGGTTCTGAGACCCAGCAGTCAGCTCTGACCTACAGGTCAGGAGTCTTAGGAACCCTACCTGGGAATAATGCGGTTCACCTGCATTCTCAGCGAAACCAAACTAATGAGACCTGCCTTCTCTCCGGTCTCTCCACTCAGCCGTTGGAGACCCTGCCACGCTGTCCGCTCTCCCACTAACCTATGCTCTACCCGTTAGCGTTGCAGATTCCTGGATCATTATATTTTGGTAAATACTGTATTCTTAGAGAGGAAGAAGTCTGCATCATCCCCAGTTCTGGGTGGTGACCTCACTCAAGTTAAATCCAGCTGTTTTCTCGCCTGGCCCCTTCCCAGCCCCTTCCCATCCCGAGTGATGGTCAGCACTTAGCCACGGTCCTACATGCAAGACGGGACTGACCATTCCTGCCACTTCCCATCACACAGGCTTGTTCTGCGACCCAAGGCCGGCATTTCGTAGACACTTAGAGTGTGCCAGGCACCTTCCTACGTGCTCTACCATTTAATCGTTATATCAGCCCTGTGACGCACATACTGTCTCAAAATCGCGCAGGCCATGAGAAAACTAACACATAAAATCCAAATAACTGGCCCCGAATCTCATTGCCGGTGAGTGGCTTCCGGCTCGAGCATTATGCCTGGACCTACTGTCTTCCTCTGCCTGTATGTGAAACGGCCTTGTCACAGGGACGCCTTCTGCGCATAGAAGGAGGTATCTGTGAGCCAAAGAGAGCTGTTTTCTCCTTGTTTCCTCCAGCTCCTTTCTGGAGGGCAACGCGAGTGTCTGCGGTCCCTAATCAAGAGGTCTCACCTAAATACTTCGGAGGGCCGAGATGCACTTGTAGGGGATGCACCGAGGTATATATTTAGACCTGTCAGTTCTAAACACAATTAGAAATCCTACCTCACCCCACCCTTAAGCATCCGAAGCCTTTGCAGTCACGGTATACCTTAAAAACTGGGAAATCTAATTTTAAAAGTCTCACAACGTTACATTCAGTTCACAGAGTAAAACAAGCTGCCTCTGAACAGCCCTGAAACTATTTTTCCAAAATAAAAACTCAGTGGGGTGTAGGGACCAAAGTGGCGAGGTCTGCAAAGATGTAAAGGTATATTTTATTTGCCAGGAAAAACCCATGTCACTGAATGGGCTGCACTTCTGTATGGAGAATAGCTCTCCCAGCGAGCATCAGCTTCAGTACAAGCAATCCCGCTGAGGCACAAACCCTTCAGAAAGTGTAGGGCCTGTTCTCTCAACAGTCAGCTCTTCCCTTTTTCCCCTTTTTTAAACTACCGTTTTTATGGCAACATTATCGTTTTAACTGCACAAAAGAGCTTGGGTTGCAGATGCACTTCTGACAATACATTCTTCTCAGTGGTCCACACGGTCCGAAGTCTGGGGGAACTGGAGGCAGGGAAGGGAGGGCGTCCTGTAGCGAGCCTCCCGGTCAGGGCACGGCCCAGGCGGCCTCACGCCGAGCACACGGGGCTGGTGGGCTTGCTTCTCTGTTCTCCGCGCTGCTCAAGACGCCCTGCTCAGCCGGACAGAAGGACACGCAGACTGGTCAGTGGGGTAGTGAGGAACAACAGCTCCATAACCAAAACCAGCCTTCTCCAGAACTAGCATTAAGGAAAATGAAATATATTTATTGTCCAAGGAGGAAAAAAAAAAATTATTCCAAACCGTTTGCCCTGTTGGGGTCTCCTACACTACAAAATTTTTAAAAACAAATTTTCAGCCAAACTCTGTGTTCTTAGAAGTCCGTTTTCCCCATCAGAAGGCAATTACGGTGTATTTCTTAGCAGCCCATCCAGGCAAACTAAACGAAAAGACTCCTAGGAAACGTGCTGGACGGCTTTTGAAATGGACACTCTGAGGCAGCCTAAATCCCGGATCCCTTGGCCATGTCAGCCTTGTGACTCATCCGTCCGCGCTCCGGTTTTGATGTGGCGTGGCTGGCGTGGGCTGAACGTCATTCCGCCAGCCTCTGGCAGTAGAGCCCCTGAGCCCTTGGGGGCGCCACGATCGTCACCGGTCGCTGGCTGGGTGGTGCCCCTCGCCGGAGCTCCGGGCTACGGTCTTGCAGGGACTCGAGCAAGTCCATGAGAGAAAGTTCCCGAACGAAACGTGGGCAAGGCCGGGGGTACAGCTGCCTCTGGGAGGTGCCATGGGGATCTCATTATAATAAGCCTGCATAACTTTGTGGAGTTCTAATGAACAGCTGCAGGAATCACCTCCCCGAGTGGCCTGGGCCGCCTGGAAGCTGGGGGGCGTTGGGGGGTGGGGCTGGGGTGGGGGTGGGGGGCCAGGGAGCTCCGCATTCAGTTAGTAAATCTGTAACCAAAAACCCATCCATCTTTGCTGGCAGGTGGCTGACTGCATTTCTATTATTAGCTGACAGGTGATGTCACAAAACCTGTCATGGAGCCAACTAGGGAATCCTCAGTGGAAGATAAATGAGAAAGGGGTTCAGGTTATAAACAAAGGTGCCCTCTGGGTGACCTCTAGTCACAGTAGACTGGGACATATCAGCTATCCTTCCTTCTCCCTTTCCTCCTTCCCGCAACCCCAGCCAGAATTAGGGCACCAGGTTCGTGCTGTGTAAATTATCTTCCCAGCTAGGAGTCTGGCTGTACAGTCTGAAGTGTGTGAATGTACTTAACCTTCAATAACCTTTCCATTGTTTACTTTCGAGTATACATTTGTAGCTTCTGGCAAAAGGTAGGGAGATCCTACAGCGTGCGCCAGCCTCATCTATTAATGGAGCTTTAAGAGGTTGGGTTCATTTTTTTTTTTTTCCTGAAAGGAAAGGAAAAAACACTGGCAGAGGGAAGAATTTTTCTTTTCTTTTTTTTTTTTTATTAGCTGTAAATGTGAATACTTGTAAATAAGGGTCATTCTGAAATCACAGCCTGTGAACCATGTTTCCAGGGAAGCCGTACGGTCTGCCGTGTGGAGTGTGGTCTGTGATTTGGGAAGCATGTTATTTCTCCCGCCAACTCTGGGGCAGACACAGCTGTAGGATTATCCTTACACAGTTACAAAAGACGCCACTTTTTTCTTTTATTACAGTCTACTTATTTAATATGTATTTCCAGGGTTTCACCAAAATATGATTTATAAGCAATGCATTACTAAGCTTTTCTTTTGCCATAGCTACATTAAAAAGATTTCTACTTTTCAAGTCAGTCTTCCCTGCACCTCCCAGAGCTGCCCTGAGTCACTGTGGTCCTGGGGAACTCAGGGGACTCCTTATACAGCCCTGGTGGCCCATGCTCAGGACTCACTCCCAAGCAGGCCAGGCCCGGGGGCCTGATCTCACCAGAGACCTCCTGTTCTGCTGAGGCTTTCTGAGTGGAAGTGCTAGACTCATTTCCATCTCAGACTCCCTCCCAGCGCGCTCTGTAATCTGCGGTGATTTGTTGAACCCCATTTCCTCGACAGTTAGATGTGGCTGATGGTAATTGTAGTGAGTCTTGGACACCTCCTAGGAAAGGGACTCCAGATAATAGCATATACAGTATTGTCACTTCCAGGCAGCCAGTGATTCTGCCATTCGTGACGGTTCTGAAAGCATTTATTGTAAACTGCATGAGAGCAGGAATTTTTGTCTTTTTTGTCAGTTTGGGCCACTGGTGCATTCAGGAGTAGAAAAAACAATATAGTAAGCCATATAGAAAGTATGTTATTTATTCAATAAGTATTCGTTTAATTAACAAGTGAAGGCAATGTCTATTGGGCACCTAACATGCAAAGGATGCTGATAAAGCAGGAACCCTTAAAATATTATGTTTTCCAATGAGATGAGTTTAAGTTTTGAAAAGATCTGCTCGGGGTGCCTGGGTGGCTCAGTCGTTAAGCGTCTGCCTTCGGCTCAGGTCGTGATCCCAGGATCCTGGGATCGAGCCCCGCATCGGGCTCCCTGCTCAGCGGGAAGCCTGCTTCTCCCTCTCCCACTCACCCTGCTTGTGTTTCCTCTCTCGCTGTGTCTCTCTCTGTCAAATAAATAAATAAAATCTTTAAAAAAAAAAAAAAAGAAAGAAAAGATCTGCTCAATTCTGAGCTGTTATTATAGCGTAATTATAGTTAAAGCCAAATCTCAGGACTCTGATAATGACATTAAAGAACTCCAAAGAGCATGACTTCGGTTTTGTAATAACAAATCTGATTCCATAGCTCTAAAAATGGCTTTATTAATGACATAGCATAGACACGTCCAGACATTGAGGAGGCATTGAAGTGACATAAGGCTCATTACTAATTTGTATCATTGCGTTTCGACTTGAACATTTCTCATTGCCTAAGATCTGGTACTAATTTTTCTAATTTTTTCCCTAAAATAGCACAATAGCCCATCAAATCGGTATACCAAATTTTTCCTTACTCTCAGACATTTAGATTATCTCCGTTATAAACAACACTGAAATAAACATTTTTCTGCTTAAAGCCTTCTTTTATATTAGATTATTTTCTTGAGATAAATACCCAGGAAAGCAATCGCCCAGTCAAGAGGTATAAATATGTTTTATGGCTCACAAATGAAGTATGTTGCCAAGTAGATTACTAAAAAAAAAAAAAAAGTTACTAATTTTCACAATAAACAATATAAGAGCAACTAATTTTACTACGTCGTTACCAGTAAGGGATATTGTCACTGTTTCTAACAAGATGGTGTCATGTTGTCCTTTTTTTTTGATAAGTGGGAAGGATGAGCTTACTTGATAACCTCTCGTTTTTTCCTTCTTTTCTTTTGGTACTACTACTGCCAGCTAACTCAGGATCCTTGCAAGGTCCACAGACCCCCCAGTCAACTGGCAGTAACTCGATGGCAGAGGTCCCCGGTGACCTGAAGCCCCCGACCCCAGCCTCCACCCCTCACGGACAGATGACCCCGATGCAAGGTGGAAGGTATGCGAAAGCATCTCCGTGAGCCCCACGACATCCGATTTGTGGAGAAGTGGTGTTCTGTCGCGAGTTTTTAAATATTGATTACTACGTGTCATTTTTTTTTTTTTTTTGGATGGTTTTCACATCAATTTTCAAGTTAGGCTTTTTTCTGAGCAAGCGTTTGGTGGCCACTCCTGCCACTTCATGGTGCTTTCCTTCTCCTCATCTCTTCAGAAGCGGTACAGTCAGCGTGCACGACCCATTCTCAGACGCCAGTGATTCATCATTCCCGAAACGGAACTCCATGACTCCGAGCGCCCCCTACCAGCAGGGCATGAGCATGCCCGACGTGATGGGAAGGATGCCCTATGAACCCAACAAGGACCCCTTTGGTGGAATGAGAAAAGGTAAGTGCAGAGGGACCTCTGCCCAGGCTTGGTGCAGAGGACATTCTTCTCCCTGCCGTCCCGCAACCAATTCACTTACCCATTCGAGACATAGCTGAGTCCCAGCTCCTCAACCTACTAAATTTCTGGCCTTGGGGGAAGCCTCAGTTTCCTCATCTAGAAACTGGGGTAATAATAGGACCTGCCTAAAGGGTGTGATGAGGCTTAGTTGAGTTAGTGCACAAAAAGCCCATTGGAGAATGACTAACACGCGCATGCGCAGGCATGCTCGTGGTGCTCCCTGGCCTCACAGATGATGTCCTGTGGGACGGGCTGGGCGAGGGCCAGGTGCGGGGTGGTGTGTTGATAAATCAGACAGAGTTCCTGCTGGGGTTGACAGTGTCTTGGGGAACAAACAAATATATAATTAAATATGGTGGTTGATGGAAGAAAGGACCTGATGGAAAAGAAACAAAAAGGAAGAAAGGACACAAAGTGCAGGGATATGGGGTGGGGGTCGTGGGAGGGAAGGACATCCCCCTGAGAAAGGGTGGTCGGGAGGGGAGGGCTTTGAGGAGATGTCGGTTATCCGCGGAGACCTGAGGAATGAGGAGTCAGTCAGAGAAGAGCAGGGAGTCGGGGGAGGCTCGAGGCAGGACAGGGGTTGGCATGTTTGAGGAGGTAGAGGCATCTGGGGCACAGTGAGCCCGGGGGGGCAGGCCGAGCGCACGGAAGCCATCGGGACCACTGGGGCCAGAACCTTTCAGCCTTCATGGGCCTGTGGATGAGTTTGGACCCTAGCTGAAAGATGTTCTGCAGGAAGTGACACGACTGGGTTTTTGTTAAAAAATAAAAAACTGGTGGGGCGCCTGGGTGGCTCAGCCAGTTAAGCATCTGCCTTCAGCTCAGGTCATTATCTCAGGGTCCCGGGATCGAGCTCCGCATCGGGCTCCCTGCTCAGCGGGGATCCTGCTTCTCCCTCTGCCCACCACCCACCCAGTCATGCTCTCTCTAGCTCTCTCTCTTTCAAATAAATAAAATCGTATAAATAAATAAACAAGTGGCAACTGTGGCGAATGTGTTGGGGGGACCCCTGTGAGAGCCCAGGGGAGAAATGACGGGGTGGAGTCAGCTCCCAGCAGTGAAGAGAGAGAAGGGGACGTGCTCGCTGTGGTTGGTGAAAGAACAGGCCGCGCGGCTGGAGTGAACGTGGGGGTCACGGGACGAAGCAAGTGATAGGGACCAAGAGGGTGACGTTACTACCTTGGAGATGCACGACTGGGAAGTAGAGGCTCACTGTTCGAGCCTGCACTGGGGACAGGAGGGAGAGGAAGGAGAGAGGGAAAGCCCAAGGTGACTGAGGTGGTAGGTGGTGGAGCGTGTCTGTCTGAAGCCGGGCAGAGCGTTGGAATTAGGAATCATTTTAGAGAACTAAGCAGAGAAGTGGGATGGAGAACTGTGGGGTGGATGGGATCGCCGAGAACGTGGGAGAGTTCTGACCGACGTTAGCAAACACCCAGCGGGGGTGTTTCCCTTTATGCTGCTCAGTCCCTGGCGTTCGCTTGGCACTGAGAACAGAGCATCTAAGCCTCCGCCCTTTGAGCGCCTCCCGAGGCACACAGACTCCAAGTGCTCTTTGGCACTCTTCCAAATGCAGCCGGGCCGTGAAATTGAGGCATGATGTGAATATCATTGAAAAAAATACCGAAAAGTAGTGAATACTATTTTTACGGAAGTACTTCTTCCGGCATCCCTTAAAACAATAGTACTTCTGTTCGATTTAGATATTCAGGGTATGCAAATTTCTTGATATCTTGTCTTAAGTGGAGAGAAACATAAAGCCCAAAGCCGTGTTTTCACAACTATTATGGACCAGTGAAAAATAAAAATGAATAATTTCAAATTTATAAGTATTAGGCATGAATCATTTAATTAACAAATGAGATTATGTTTAATATCTATTTCTTACGTAACATTTCAGATACCTGTTATACCACGTAAGAGAATCTATAATTTTTCCTTTCAAAACATTTCAGAGTTGCTTATTCCGAGTAAATATTCTGCAGAACATGCAATAAATCCCTAAGCTCAGAAATTCACAAGCCTTGTACGTGTTGGAGGTAGCTATTTTTCTTCGTGGTATGAGATAGTAGAAAGAACATTCTGTTACTGCTGATGGTGGTTGTATCACATTTTTAGACTCTGAAAATTTGACAATAACAAGGGAAAAATAACTAGTAGTGTTTGGAATCCGGCCTCAAAAGTTAGGTGAACCATTCCAGTATCCTGCCTATATGCTATATTGGACATAGGGGGTTACATTGCTTTTGTTTCTGTATGCCTGCGGTTTTTCTTACTCTGAAAATAAATGGGGGGGTGATTGTGGATCACCTTGTTAGACACTCACTACCTATATAATGTGTTTGCATCCACCGTGTAAATGATACAGTGGCTCAGAGGGAAGGCCCTTCTCACGTTTCCCCGGGATATTGCAGCTCACCTGCTACCTCACAATGCTGGTGTATTTAGCACCAAATTAAAGCAGATGAGCAGAAAAGCCACAGAAAACAGGTTTTTGTATAGCCCTGTCCCTGTTATAATAAAGGTTTACCTTCCTCGGTTCACATTATTCTGTGCGTGAACTTGGGGTGCTCTGACTCGTCATGTAACGACCAGCATCGGGGGCAGCCGTGCTTTGTTGCTGCTCCTGGACTCTCGTGTGGTGATGGGGGCCGTGCCAGAGACCGTCTGAGCCTCCGTGGCCGGAGCAACCTCAGCCCCAGCCGCCTGCCTGCCCCACCAGCTCCCTGCACGCGTTACTGACTGACCGGCCCATTACTTGCTTACAAGTGAACAACAAGTGAATATTTACATACTGTATATCTAAACAGTATATTTTAAATATCCATTAGTATCTGTACACATAATCCTATTTTTTTTCTTTTGAGAGGGAGAGGAAAGGGGGGAGGAGTTGGGGGGGGGGGAGAGGATCCCAAGCAGGCTTCCACGCCCAGCGCAGAGCCCGACTCGGGGCTCAATCCCATGACCCTGAGATTGTGACCTGAGCCGAAACCAAGAGTCAGACGCTCAACCGACTGAGCCACCCAGGGTCCCCCACCTACTTTTTCTTCATCTGAGAGAGAGAGAGAGAGCACAGCACAGGGGAGGGCCAGAGGAAGCAGCAGACTCCCCACTGAGCGGGGAGCCCAACGCGGGACTCAGTCATGACCCGAGCCGAAGGCAGACGCTTAATCGACTGAGCCACCCAGGCGCCCCTGCCTTTTCTTTTTAATGCTCTAGTACTGAACGGGTTGTTTCATAATTTGCTGTTATAAAAAATGATGCAGGGGCGCCTGGGTGGCTCAGTCGTTAAGCGACTGCCTTTGGCTCAGGTCATGGTCCCAGGGTCCTGGGATCAAGCCCCACATCGGGCTCCCTGCTTGGCGGGGAGCCTGCTTCTCCCTCTCCCACTCCCCCTGCTTGTGTTCCCTCTCTCGCTGTGTCTCTCTCTGTCAAATAAATAAATAAAATCTTCAAAAAAAAAAATGATGCCGTGATTATTGACTGATGTAGCTGTTTTTTTCACACCTGTAATTGTGTTTCTATGAAATAGATTCCTAAAGGAATAACTAAATCAAGGGATCTGAACTTTTATTTTAGTTTACTGAGTGTCTTTTACTACATAACGAACTGCCACCCGAAGTGGCTTTCAACACCAGCGTTTGGTTGCATCTCACAGTTCCCTGATGGGCGGGGTGGTTCTTCGTTGCATGTGTTGTGTCAGCTTGGGACATGAGGCGCCTGCTGTCGTCAGGGAGACTGATTGGGAACTCTGCTGGAGCTGGGATGTCCCTTGAAGGGTTGGTGTCATCCGGAGGCTCTGTTGGGAACTCATCAGGAGCTGTCGCTTGGGGGCCTCCTCCAGGGGCCGTCCCACGGAACTTCCAGGGTGCCTCATGACCTGGTGGGTGGGTTACCAGAAGGAGCACTTCAGGAGGACGCCCCAGTTGCCAGCACATAGAACCCTCTGCGGCATCGCATTTGCCAGTGCCCCGTGGGTCAATGCTGGTCACATGACCACGCCAGAACGCACTGTGGGCGGGGACCTCATAGGCTGTCAGTACTCTTGGGGGTCATCAGAATATAGCACTCCCGTAACAGGTATCAACAAAAGTTAGGCCAATGTAGTACTCTTCACATGAGCATGTCAGAGTGTGTGGACCCTCACTCCCCCACCAGGAATGACCATTATCGGTCCTTTTAATATTTGCCCATCGGATTAGGGGAGGGGAAAGTCTCATAACTGTTTTAACTTGGATTTCTTTAATTATTAGTGAAGTCACACATCTTTTCATATATTGATTAGCCACTTATTTTTCTTTTTCTCTGAATGTCCATTTTTTTGCCCATTTTTTTAATCTGATGGTCTTTTTTTCTTACTGGCTTTTTAAGAATTTTTTTGTGTATCAAGGAATTAAGCTATTTAATTATCCCCCTTAATGTCTGTCTACCTCTGTTTTTACATTTATAAAATGGAAAGTAACATCAGAACTTAATCTGCCGCCTGTTGACTTGAGCTTAAATAAAATGAAGTATGGGAAAGCTCAGTGCATCCCACCGGCGCTAGACTTCATTATCTGCACTTTTCTTCCAGCCCAGCAAATTCTATCAGCTCACCCAAGTCTAACCAGCTTTTGCTTCGTGTAACATAAAAGTAACCTTCCTAGGATGAAGAAAGGTAGTAGCACTGTATATCAATTAAGATTTGCATTAAAATGTTTAATTTGCCTACAGGCTAGTTTCTGGGCTTGACCCAATTTCCTTCAGGCTCTGAGCTGATGCTAATTTGTATATTTGACCTAATTGCCACTCTAGGCCCTGATAGAAATACTTGTATTTCATCCATTCTTGAGTTATTCCTAATTCCCTAGTGGGTTTCTTTATCCAGATTTTGCAGTGAGTCAGTAGATGGGTATTCATGTTAAGTTTTCTTACTTTTTTCCACTAGAACGGAAGGCAACTAGCTTTATTCAGACAGTTGACCCTTGAACAACATGGGTTTAAACCGCACAGGGCCACTTATACAGATTTTTTTTTTTCCAATAAATAGATGTACAGTACTATAAGTGTATTTTCTCTTACGATTTTCTTAACATTTTCTTTAGCTTTACTGTAAGAATACTGTATATGATACATGTACAAAATTTGTAGGGTTTTTTTTAAGATTTTATTTATGTGAGAGGGAGAGGGAGAGCACGAGCAGGGAGAGCGAGAGGGAGAAGCAGGCTCTCTGCTGAGCAGGGAGCCTGATGTGGGACTCGATCCCAGGACCCTGGGACCACAACCTGAGCCGAAGGCAAATGCTTAACTGACAAGCCACCCAGGTGCCCCTTTATTGTGTTATTTGTGTACATTATCAGTAAGGCTTCTGGGCAGCAGTCGCCTATGAGTAGTTAGGTTTTGGGGGAGTCCAAAGTTACACGTGGATTTTCACCTTTGAGGGGGTCAGCACCTCTTAAGCCCTGTGTGAAGGGCCACCTGTATGTGCATTTCATCTCTTCCTCACACCCACTGCAGGAGGCAGCATGACCAACCTTATTTCATAGATAAGGAATGAAACTCAGAAGTTTGGTAAGCACCCCAAGAAAGGGCCTGTGTTTGTTTCCTACATTACTTCATAACAAATTACCGCAACCTCAGCTGCCCAGAACAACATCCGTATAGGATCCCGCGTTCCTGTGGGCGCTCGGCTTGGGGCCCCCCACGGCAGACATCAGGGTGTCGGCCAGGACTCTGCTTATCTGCGGCGCAGGGGCCTCTTCTGAGCTCGTTGAGGTTGTTGGCAGATTTGGGTCCTTGCAGTTGTAGGACTGAGGTCTTGTCTTGAGGACAGTCGTCTGGGGGCCTTCACAGTCCTAGGGGCTGCCCCCCTTCCTAACATCTGGCCCTCTCCACTGCGTGATGGATGCTTCTTCAAGGCCAGCAGGAGAGTGTCTCTGACCGCTAGACACAGATTTAAGGGACTCACTTGGATAATCTCCCTTTTAGTTGACTGCCAGTCAGCTGATTGGTAACTTTAGTTACATCTGTGAAATCCCTTTAGCCATAAAATGTATGTAATCATGGGAGCAACACCTCACCATGTTGGTGGGTTCTGCTCATCCGCAAGGGAGGGGCTCCTATGAGGCTGTACATGGGGTAAGGGATAGGGATCTTGAGGTCCATCTTGACTCCAGACCTACACTCTTCGGCTTGTTTTGTTGTCAGCCACACTAAGAATAAGATAAATGTCTGCCGTATTGAGGATAACAAACGACTGGAAAGGGCTCTTTGGGCCCCTTGGCTTTCGCAAATGCCTCATTTTCTCTCTCTCCTTTAAAATGTTGCAGTGCCTGGAGGTAGTGAGCCCTTTATGACTCAAGGGCAGATGCCCACGAGCAGCATGCAGGACATGTATAACCAGAGTCCCTCCGCAGCGATGTCCAGTCTGGGCATGGGGCAGCGGCAGCAGTTTCCCTACGGAGCCAGCTACGATCGAAGGTGAGCGTTGTCTAAGAGGACCATGAGGTCTACCAGAGCCTCTCCCCGCACACACATCTCCGAGCCTGGTGACTGCTGACACGCACGCCACCTGCTCTCCTGCTGGACTTGGTAAGGCTGGGGTCGGGCGCCTGCCTCCACCGACGACCACAGCAGCAGCAGGAGGAGAAGGACCCCCGAGAGCTGGAGGCCCCGAGCCCCGGTGGCCCTGCCAGCCCCGGGCTGCGCCCCGCCCCTCCGGCTGCCTTGCGCGGCCCCGCCCAGCCCCCTTCCCGCCTGCAGCTCTTCCTCAGGCACGTGCTCGCAACCGGGGGCCACGCTGGGCTCCCCGCAGCCCCGGGTGACAGGGAGCTCTGGGAAGGTCTTCCCTCCTGGCGCTGGCTCCTCAGGTCTTTCCGCTCTTCCCTGCGAACGTCTTAAACAGAGAGCATACTTTGCTCTTTGAATAACGTCTTTGAGGAAAGCCCCGGCAGTCTTGTTTCCAGATGCTTCTTCTCAGGATGGCATCTGGGCATCGAGTAGCAAGTTGGGTTTCGGTGCTCATGCAGATTATTTTTGCTGAGGCAGAAGGACGGTCCTTGAAATGTCTCTTCGGGGTTAACAGGAAACCGGCTCACGGTAGACTTCTTTCTGTGAAGAAGGCCCCTTACTTACGCCTGCCCCCGACTTAAATACAGACCCTGAAAGCACCTTCCCCTGCTGGTATGTTCTTTGCCTCCTTAATACACAAGTGCTCAGAAGCAAAGTCGTTCACGTAATATCTGTGGTTTTTGAAGAAAATGGAGGCACATTAGAAGGCTCCGGTTCTAACTGTAGCCACAGCCCCAGGCTCGGGGTGGGGATGGCCTCGGCTCCGTTCCTTCAGGATCCCGTGTGGCGATGTTCCTCAGAGACTCCCTCCGTCACTGCTGCTCCCCCAGACCACGTGCTGGCCGTGGACAGGGGCGAATCGTGACAGTCGTGAGGAGGTTTCCGCTGGTGTGACACAAAGGCGAAGAAAGTTTGAAAGCCACTGTTTTATTACCAGAGAAGCTTTCTTTCTGGCATTTTCCATGCACCTGCTTCTTCAGACACAGCCATCACAAGCTTAAAGTGTTTTGGTTCTTTCTAGACTTAAGAATCTAGATTTCTCATTCTGACCCTGGCTGTGGTGTGGCGAACGTTTATTAGTGATGTCTGCATGAATCCGTTTCCCATCATGTTTAGTGTACTGGATTAGGGATTTTATTTCGATTTGTTTTTGAGGATCCAGAAGAAGCTTTCTTTTTTTCTTTTTCCTTTTTTTTTTTTTTTTTTTTTTGGCTGATGAGATTGGAAGAACACTTCTCCTGGAACATATATTCTTAACGGAGCCCAGGCAAATGTACCGTTCTGTTTCTCCTAGAAGACTTTCTAGAACTAGTTTAAGTCATTTTTGGCTCTACCACGTTAGGGTTTACCTTATGCTTCCTGAAAAGTGTTAACTTGTTTCGCTTAAATTTTACCTGCATCAGTTATTATTTCTTTCCTCCTAACGTAAGCTTCCTTCTAGCTGTTAATGCCCTTAGCACACGCTTCCTCTGTATCTGTTTTACCTGTGATGTTCTCCAAATCCATTTGTTTTCTTTCTTAGTCTCATTCCTTGACCAGTTTAGGAATATATTCAGTGCAAGTATCCTCTTTCTTACGGGATTCAATTAGTATACTAACAAAACCAGTTTATCCCTTTAAACTTCAACTCCATTGCTCTTTTACGCATGCTGTTTTTATGGTATTTATAGCTTCTCAATGTAATGGGAGTTGAAAAATAAATATTATACATTCCCATTTTCAGATTTAATAGGAGCACATTTAAATCAGCCCTGTCACTCTTTTAAGTCCCCTCTGTTACTCTTTTCTGTGGCCTTTTAGGGTCATGGGCCTTCAAAAGTTTGAGTAGTTACATTTTTACAATTAGTAGCTAACTCAGTATCATTTGGATTAATTGTGGAGTATTCTTTTAAAAAACTGAACATTTTGTATCCATAGTGAGAAAATAAGTAGAGACATTTTCCACGATTATAGGTCTGTGCTCTGGTACTCCTGGAAGTCCTGCTTTGATTCTTAAATTGTTTTTCTTGTCTCTGGCTCTCGTTAATACCTCCCGTCATGGGGTTGCATGACGCTCGCTGCCCGGGTCCGCGTCGGTGGGTGGGGCGGAGACTCTGCCCAGAGGTACAGGGGTGCCAGCCTATCTGGCCGGGGCTCCTCGCACACCTTCCAGCCAGGAGATTGGCAGCATTCCCAAAATGGGTGTTGCCATCCCTGTGGCTAAAAGTTAAAGTGCTGTTTCTGCTCGGCGTGCCTCTCTTGGAAAGTGTGTGCAGTGAAGGAAAGACAAGACCATTAAGGGGTGCGCGATTTCCAGAAATGAACTGTTGGTTTCTCTCTTGGCCTGACGTCCTTTGACAATGAAGTGTTCTTTGAATGCCTCACTCTAGGCATGAACCTTACGGGCAGCAGTACCCAGGCCAAGGCCCTGCCTCAGGACAGCCGCCATATGGAGGACACCAGCCCGGCCTGTATCCACAGCAGCCGGTGAGTCGGCGAGCGGGCATGCATCTCTGAGCTTTCTGTTTAAAACCCCAACTTGTGTTACTTCTGCAGAGTTTTAGGAAGTATAAGAAAAATGAGTAGCATTTATTGAACAATCAGGATCCGTTTGCTTATGCTAGAAAATATTGTTAGGATTTTGAAGTCAGCAAATTTTTAAAAAGCTCTGAATAGATGGTATCCTGAAACAAAGGTCACATGTTGTAGGAAGTAGAGGACGTTCAGCCTTGTCAAGAAGAATCAGCCCGAGTAAAGAATATTTTAAACACGTGTCTGTTGTGTGTATTGTCCTATCAAATGCCATTTTCGAATAGAAATTTGTCGGTGTTTTAAAGATGTGTAGATAAAAATAATTTAAAATATTAAATACCAAGATGAAATTTAATCGGCTTTTTAAAACTGAGATATTAATGACCAGGTATTTTGCCCACATAGGATGGGTGGGTGCTGGTTGATGCAACCGTAGATCCTGAATTGTGTAGGATAACCTTGCAGTAGCCCCTAGTGCTTCAGAGAATTGCACGTCGTGCTGTGGCTGTTCAGACACAGGAGTTTGCTATTTCTTTCTTTTTTTTTTTCTTAAAGGTTTTATTTATTTGAGAGAGAGAGTGCACACACGTGCGAGCGGGGCCATGGGGGGTGGGGCAAAGGGAGAAGGAGAAGGAGGAAGCAGACTCCCCTCTGAGTGGGGAGCCCGATGTGGGGCTCAATCCCACAATCGCAAGATCACGACCCGAGCCAAAACCAAAGAGTCAGACGCTCAACCGACTGAGCCACCCAGGCGCCCCAAGAATTTGCTATTTCTAAATAACTTTTCAGGTTTAAGACCTCTGGTAGCATAGAGGGGGTTTTAAACATTTAATTTTCCTGGAGCATGTATGTGCAGTAAATTGTATTATTAAACCAGCTGATCTTAAGCAATTTCCAAGTAAGGTGAAAGAACACTAATTATCACATCAGCATCTTTCTCACATCAGGAGGATCCCACCCTGGTCGAGTGCTGGTCCCCAGGGTGTCCCCAGGAGGGGAGCCTGATACACAGGAACACGGGCCCTGCTGTCAGAGGCTGGGGCCTGTGGGGCTTTCGGGGCAGACTCTGAGCTGCACTGCTGGAAGTCGGGGTGGGGGCCAGAGACTGTAGGGTGTCGGGGCAGCAGGTCCAGTCTGAGGAGCCGGATGCTATGTGGAGACATTCCTGCAAAGGTAGGCCTAAGGAATCCCTTGACTACAGGAGCCTCGCAGGCTGGCCCTCAGGAAGCTCCGTCCGTGCCAGGGCAAGCCCTCTTCCTCCCCGCTGAGGCCGTCTTCATGTAACCCCAGGCCCCCGTCCGGCGGTGCCCGTGTGGGGGTCTCCAGAGCTGTGCCCCTGTATTGCAGCCCTGGGAAATGCCAAGGGAGGAGGTACCAGGAAAAAGAGAGAGGAAGCCTTTCTTTCCCCAGAGAAAATGCCAAGCACATGCAGACAGCCTTCGGAAACCCTCTTCGGAGTACGTGACGCGGCTTTGTATAATCCTGAAATAGAGGGCATCAGTTGTTAGTCCTTAGTTGTTACAGGAGCTTCCCATATTCATTTTGAAATGAACCTTTTACCAGGTAATAACTGTTTTGCATAATTTAAGTGTGTGATGATACCTGTAAAAGCACATCAGTATATTTGTCTTGATATGCGTTTCAGAATTACAAACGCCATATGGACGGCATGTACGGGCCTCCAGCCAAACGCCACGAGGGAGACATGTACAGCATACAGTACGGCAACCAGCAGCAAGACGTGTATAACCAGTATGGGGGCTCTTACTCCGGACCGGACAGGAGGCCCGTCCAGGGACAGTACCCGTATCCCTACAACAGGGAGCGGATGCAGGGCCCGGGGCAGGTACAGCCGCATGGGATCCCGCCTCAGATGATGGGCGGCCCGATGCAGTCGTCCTCCAGCGAAGGGCCTCAGCAGAGCATGTGGGCGGCTCGCAACGATATGCCTTACCCCTACCAGAACAGGCAAGGCCCGGGCGGCCCCACCCAGGCACCTCCTTACCCCGGCATGAACCGCACGGATGATATGATGGTACCTGATCAAAGGATCAATCACGAGAGCCAGTGGCCTTCTCACGTCAGCCAACGTCAGCCTTATATGTCCTCTCCCGCCTCCATGCAGCCCATCACGCGCCCGCCTCAGTCATCCTACCAGACGCCACCATCGCTGCCAAATCACATCTCCAGAGCCCCCAGCCCTGCCTCCTTCCAGCGCTCCCTGGAGAGCCGCATGTCTCCAAGCAAGTCTCCCTTTCTGCCCTCCCTGAAGATGCAGAAGGTCCTGCCCACCGTCCCCACGGCCCAGGTCACGGGGCCGCCCCCCCAGCCGCCCCCCATCAGAAGGGAGATTACCTTTCCTCCTGGCTCCGTCGAGGCCTCACAGCCAGTTTTGAAACAAAGGCGAAAGATTACCTCAAAAGATATCGGTAAGCATTGCGGGCCTTGGCCTGAAATGAATCCCAGTTGTGATCGAGAATTTTAATTTTAGTTTAGATTTAGCTCCTGTTAATCTCCAAAGGATGAAATTCTTAGGACGGCAAACTATCAAGACATGTTTTTGTGCAGGAGCGGCAGCTGAAAGCTGCTGATCTGAGTTAAGAAACAGTGCCAGAGAGGAGCGTGAGTTTACAATGGTATTTTTACACGTGAGTGTTATTTGTGTGAGAGAGTAGAGCTCCAAGTGAGAGACCAGGGGATCCTCAGTGACCATGTTTTATACTACAGTTTGAGCTGAAAGATTGGGCCGCAACCAAGCGCTTGATTTCTGCAGTGGTGAGCCTCACGGCTGAGAGGCTAATGAAATGCTCGGGTGGCCTGAGAAAATTTGAAGGCGAGCCACTCTGTAATTTGGGGAACCCCAGACAGACAGTGAGCTTTCCTGGGAAAAAGTAGAAGCCTGCGTATAGTATGTAGATAAATATATAATATAATATACAGAATTTGATATGATGTGGTGTGTAGGTCGCACTGGTAGATATGGGCCAAGGAACGATTTCAGTTGGATGCCGATGTTGTTTGCTCATTCTGTTTGGGATGTTCTGAATACTAATCCCAGATCTGGAATATCTAGGAGTACACACAGTTTTTGTGCATTATTTTTGAAGTACTTTTAATATAGCAAAGGAAATGACAGACCTTGGTTTTATAAGAAACAGTCTTTTCAAAAACCTTAAAATCACTTGACTTGAAATCATTAAGAGTGACTAGAAAATCAAAGATACTAAAGATTTTTTTCAACCACTGGAATTAAGGACATATCCGGGCAGAGCAGGGGAGAGAAGTAAGGCCTTACAGAGAGGGATGCTGGAGACGAGAAGGAGATGCAGACAGACACTGAGCACCGTTTTATATGAGGAAATATATATGTAAAAATATGCACATGTGTTTGTGTGTTTATGTATGTGTGTGTGCATATGTTTGAATAAATAAATGTATTTAAATTTTTTATGAAATTTCTCTGCGCGTCTTAGATCAGCATTTCTCATCAGCCTGGGGAAATTTATGTTCCCTTATTTGAAAAAGAAAGTTCGCTTTTTCTGTTACCAAAGTATTGTATGCCTCTTAGAAAATACGGAAAGCAGATGAAATTGCAATAGAGGTGGAAACCCACGCCCCCCCAGCGCGTGCGATTGCTGCTGGTATCTGGTGCGGGCTCTTTCTCTGCTGAGTTCTTTTTTTTTTTTTTTTTTTTTAAATTTTTTTTTTTTTTAATTTATTCATTTGAGACACAGAGATACAGAGAGAGAGAGAGAGAGAAAGCATGAGCAGGGAGAGAGGCAGAGGGAGAGGAAGAAGCAGGCTCCTCGCTGAGCCAGGAGCCCGATGCGGGGCTCGATCCCAGGACCCTGGGATCATGACCTGAGCTGAAGGCAGACGCTTAACCATCTGAGCCACCCAGGCGCCCCCTCTGCTGAGTTCTGATGGCTTGGGCCTGCTCCTGCCTTGTGCTTCTGCTGGTTTCCCGAGACGGAAATCTCAGACGTTCAAGGGGCCTCTTCTCCTAGCCCCATCTTATGGCAAATCTTGCAAATGTTTTATCTAATCCTTGTGTCTTCTTCAGTAACGGGAAGGGGGAAAAGAAAAGTGCAGCCCTTCTGTTTCCCATCCCAGGCTCAGACCAAGCTGTTGAAAAATCTGAACCTTCAAAGTGCTAGTAATTGTCAACAGCATGTTCTGAGGGCAGGAGCTCAGACGGAAGAGGACAGCAAGGGAATATCAAGACTGTCTACCCCAGAATGCGCTGCTTGGGAATTACATTTTGCCTGTATTCTGCCACCCTGAGACATTTGTGAATGGAGTGGGCAAGAGAAGACAAACACCATTTTTTGGTTTGACTCAATTATTAACACTCTGCTGCATCATTACAGAGTCTGTTAGGGGCTAAAGGAAACCAATTGGAGCTGAGAAAGGGCCCTTGGGCTCAGCCACCACCACCTCCAGAAGCACTTTTGGCTCATGTTTAACCAACAAAGCCAAAGGATCTTAAATAACAAAAGTTTCTTAGGAAGCTGTGCCCTCCATTTAGAATCTGGAAATGATCACGTTTAACCAGGCCTCAGGACATTTGTTTGAAATCAGTATTTAACTCAACACTCGACTTCTTTCTTCTTACTCTTTTGTTATCTTCTGCCCTTTCGTGCACAGAGTTAACATTAACTATACCCTTGTTCTTTCTCCTGGCTTTAGTTACTCCTGAGGCCTGGCGTGTGATGATGTCCCTTAAGTCAGGTCTTCTGGCTGAAAGTACTTGGGCTCTGGACACTATTAACATTCTCCTGTATGATGACAGCACTGTCGCTACCTTCAGTCTCTCCCAGGTAAGCCGGCGCCCATCCCGCCAAGCGCCCAGGTCGCAGAAGAAAGCTCGGCAGTGCACGGTGCGCGAGTGCCAGGGGTGAGCTGCACCCCCACCGGGTGTGGCTGCCCTTGTTGTCGTTAGGATGTAGCGCTGTCTGAGGATTTAGTCGGGAATAATGACTCATTTCAGGCTCTAGTATAAATACACACGGACTTCTGTTTCTCACGAGAAAACCGTCCCCTGTGTGTGCGCGCGCGCGCGTGGACTGGATAGTGAAAGTAGGTTGTTGTTTAGAATGAATGTCAGCAGCCGGCGGGAGGTGACCGAAGTGTCGCGTGAGGCTGGGACCGTAGTCAGTGTTGGGTATGCAGGAGCTTGCGATGGGACATACCCTACTTTCCAGGGAGACCGAACCTCTTTCTTTTAATTAGAAAGAAGTGTTATGGAAAATGTACAGTAGAGAGAGTGGTAGAGAGAACAGCTTAATGAACCGCCGTATCCCCATCATTTGGCTGAGATCGTTGTGAACTCATGGCCAGACTTTTTCCTGGTCTGTTTCCTTCATTGCTGCCTCTCTCCACCTTATTTTGAGGCAGTCATTGAAAAGCCTGCTACTTTTAATAAGCTTAAAGCGCTCTGCTTTGTTCAGCAGTAGACTTAAAGTAGCTTCCAGCGTAATTGCTAGAGGAGAGAAGGGGGGCAGAGGGCTAGGGAAAATGCCCAGGAGTCAACTGAGCTGCAGACTTTTACAGAAATAGTTAGAAACAAAAATGAGGAGAGGTAGTTCTCCCTACTGTGTATGAACAGTTCTCTGCTTTGGGTGAAAAAAGCCAAAACATCTAATTACCTTGCTTCTGTTGAAATCGGACCAGAATCTTCCACTTTGCCTTTCTTCTCACATTTAAGTCCTCATTATAGCCCTAAAAGGCAATTCTTCACTTGATAGGAAGTGTATTAATAAGGTTATAAACATCGCATGAAGCCCCTTGTAACAGAAAATACTAAAAAATGTGTCCTGGCTTTGCTAGAATAATTACCTTCCGTCCTTAATGTGAGCAGCGTGAACAACTGTTGCTCACACATTTTCATAACCAGAATTGCTTTAGTAACTTGCCCCTTTCCCCTGCCATGGGGAAAAAGTCAACTTTAAGTGGGGGAACAAACACCCAAATCTTCACATGAAAAAGTGTGCCTTCATCCCCTAAAAGGGAGTCCTTTGTGGTCAGTCCTTGAGTGGCCCCTTACTTCTTAGTAATCGTTCCAAACCCACTTTCAGGAAACTGATAGCAGGATACAAAAGTACGATTGATTTCCAAAACACCTGTCATTAAAGAATCCTTCTGTACTTCCTTATCCTTCTTCATTGTCCCTGCATGTTGGAGGTGTGGGCGTCGGGGGAGGGGCTCTGGGCAGTTGCTGATCATGGAGTATCTTGGCTTTCTCGATGCAAATGTTTGCTGAAAGGAAACGAGAAGTGGCTTTTGTCTTTCAGCTGGAGTTGTGATAGCTGAAATGTAAAAGTGCATTCTATAAGGCATTCTAATTCATTTATCAGGGACTAAATTGATTTGTTTTTAATTTTCTGTGTTTATGAGCTACTCCATTGCTGAAATTATCTTTTCCCAAAGATATATGGGGAATGTAAATTAGGGTAACCTATGGCACCTGAGACAAAAATAACCATAAAATCCTAAGAATAATAACCATAAAAATCCAGGCAAGCAAGTCTCAGATAAACAGTAGAAGGGAACAGACTCACTTTGGCTGAATGAGTCCATAAAATCCACGTTCCCGCTCTTCTCATATGGAGTGCATTGTACCTAAGTCAGAAGAAAAGGCAAAGAACTTGATAATATTCAAAAGAAAAAATGACAGGGAAGTTTTCATATTGATGGAGTAGGAAAGTCAGCAGCAAGTGGGAAACATGGTACATGTTGGTTTAGTTAACAATGTAAAATTCAGGAAGCCGGTTCTAATGGATATGTAGTTTCTCTCTCTGGGCTTAGCCAAAAGGGAATTAAAACCTGTGAAAATCATCCTAAAACTGTATCGACAGCTGTCAGGATTATTGCCCTTCTCCACCCTGTTTGAGGTTATGACATTGTACCCGTTCTTGTTCTTGTCTCCCTCTCTAGTTGTCTGGATTTCTCGAACTTTTAGTAGAGTACTTTAGAAAATGCCTAATTGACATTTTTGGGATTCTTATGGAATATGAGGTGGGAGACCCCAGCCAAAAAGCACTTGATCACAATGCAGTGAGGAGAGATGACAGCCAGTCGTTGGCTGACGACTCGGGGAAGGAGGAGGAAGATGCTGAGTGTATTGACGAGGAGGACGACGAGGAGGATGAGGACGAGGACGAGGACGATGGGAAGACGGAGATGGAGGAGAAGAGCAGCGCGGCTCTGGCCTCTCCCAACGCCACTGCAGATCCCAAGGAGAAGCCCAGGCAAGCGAGTAAGTTCGACAAGCTGCCAATAAAGATAGTCAAAAAGAACAACCTGTTCGTGGTCGACCGGTCTGACAGGCTGGGTCGTGTTCAAGAGTTCAACAGTGGACTTCTGCACTGGCAGCTTGGTGGGGGGGACACCACCGAGCACATCCAGACTCACTTCGAGAGCAAGATGGAGATCCCTCCTCGGAGGCGTCCACCTCCCCCTGTAAGCTCCACTGGTAGGAAGAAAGAGCAAGAAGGAAAAGGCGAGGCTGACGAGCAGCAAGAGAAAAGCATCATCGCGACCATTGACGACGTCCTGTCTGCGCGGCCAGGGGCGCTGCCGGAAGACGCAAACCCTGGTGCCCAAACCGAAAGCAGTAAGTTTCCCTTTGGGATCCATCAAGCCAAAAGTCACCGGAACATCAAGCTGCTGGAGGACGAGCCAAGGAGCCGAGACGAGACTCCTCTCTGCACCATTGCGCACTGGCAGGATTCTCTGGCTAAGCGCTGTATCTGTGTGTCCAACATTGTCCGAAGCTTGTCTTTTGTGCCTGGTAATGACGCTGAAATGTCCAAACATCCAGGCTTGGTGCTGATCCTGGGGAAGCTGATTCTGCTTCACCATGAGCATCCAGAGAGGAAACGAGCGCCGCAGACCTACGAGAAGGAGGAAGACGAGGACAAAGGGGTGGCCTGCAGCAAGGATGAGTGGTGGTGGGACTGCCTGGAGGTCTTAAGGGATAACACGTTGGTCACGTTGGCCAACATTTCTGGGCAGCTAGACTTGTCTGCTTACACAGAAAGCATCTGCTTGCCAATCTTGGATGGCTTGCTGCACTGGATGGTGTGCCCGTCTGCAGAGGCACAAGACCCCTTCCCCACTGTGGGACCCAACTCCGTCCTGTCGCCTCAGAGACTCGTGCTGGAGACCCTCTGCAAACTCAGCATCCAGGACAATAACGTGGACCTGATCTTGGCCACGCCTCCATTTAGCCGTCAGGAGAAATTCTATGCTACGTTAGTTAGGTACGTGGGGGATCGGAAAAACCCAGTCTGTCGAGAAATGTCCATGGCGCTCTTATCGAACCTTGCCCAAGGGGACGCACTGGCAGCGAGGGCCATAGCTGTGCAGAAAGGGAGCATTGGCAACTTGATAAGCTTCCTAGAGGACGGGGTCACCATGGCCCAGTATCAGCAGAGCCAGCATAACCTCCTGCACATGCAGCCCCCGCCTCTAGAACCCCCGAGCGTGGACATGATGTGCAGGGCGGCCAAGGCTCTGCTGGCCATGGCCAGGGTGGACGAGAACCGCTCGGAGTTCCTCCTGCACGAGGGCCGATTGCTGGATATCTCGATATCAGCCGTCCTGAACTCTCTGGTTGCGTCTGTCATCTGTGATGTACTGTTTCAGATCGGGCAGTTATGACATCCGAGAGAAGGCAGCATGTGTGAGTGAAGACTAGAGGCTCCCGTATCACTGGCTGTTTTCTGTTCTTGTTTATCCAGCGTAGAAAGAAGAAAAAGAAAATCTCTGCTCCTCTGCCCCATTCACTATTTACCAATTGGGAATTAAAGAAATAATTAATTTGAACAGTTATGAAATTAATATTTGCTGTCTGTGTGTATAAGTACATCCTTTTGGGGTTTTTTATTTTGTTTTCGTTTTTTTTAACCAAAGTTGCTGTCCTAGTGCATTCAAAGGTCACTTTTTGTTTCTCACAGATTTTCTTTTTAATGTTCTTTTCTATGTTGTATTGCTTTTTTTTTTTTTTGGGGGGGGGGGAAGCAAATTGACTTTAATAAAAAAAAATGTGGCAAAAGATGCTAAGATGGGAAAATTTCACCACACTGAGGCAAAAAGGTGAAAAATTATCAACTTCCTAGGCATGTTATTCTTCAGATAATGGAAAAAAAAAAAAAAACTGTATCCCATCGCCCAAAGCTCTGTGCAATAGAAACTTCTAGAGATGTAGGAATAGGGGCTCAAGGAGGTGTGTCAGTCAGTAGTCAAACTATGAAATGATACTGGTTTCTCCACAGGAAAATGGTTACATTAGGCTAGGAGCAAAAACAATTTTTTTTTTTTTAAGTTAAGATTGAAAATACATACCTGACAACGATCAACGGAAACTGCTTTCTCACCACTACCGTCATGTCTGCTGTCTGTCGTCTGACCTTCCACGTGACAGTTCTTCACAATTCCTTTAATCATTTTTTAAATATTTTTTTTTTACTGCCCATGGGCTGTGATGTATATAGAAGTTGTACATGAAACATACCCTCATGCTTTCTTTTTCTTTTCTCTCTCTTTTTTTTTTTAGTACAAAGTTTTTAGTTTCTTTTTCATGATGTGGTAACTACGAAGTGATGGTAGATTTAAATAATTTTTTATTTTTATTTTATATATTTTTTCATTAGGGCCATATCTCCAAAAAAAAAAAAAAAGAAAGAAAAAAGACAAAAAACAAAAACAAACAAAAAAAAAAGAGGGTAATGTACAAGTTTCTGTATGTATAAAGTCATGCTCTATTTCGGGAGAGCGGCTGATCACAATTTGCTTCATGAATCAAGGTGTGGAAATGGTTGCATATGGATGGATTTAGACTATGGTTACCAGTACAGACAAAAAAGAAAAAAATACAACTAAAAGGAAGAAACACAACTTCAAAGATTTTTCAGTGACAAGAATCCACATTTGTATTTCAAGATAATGTAGTTTAAAAAAAAAAAAAGAAAAAAACTTGATGTAAATTCCTCCTTTTCCTCTGGCTTAATGAATATCATTTATTCAGTATAAAATCTTTATATGTTCCACATGTTAAGAATAAATGTACATTAAATCTTGTTAAGCACTGTGATGGGTGTTCTTGAATACTGTCCTAGTTTCCTTACAGTGGTTTCATAGTAACCAAGTTCTTCCCAAGAAATAATAGGGGAAAACCCAGCCTTGTACTAACATAGTCCTCCTCACAAAGCCCTGAGGTCGGGAGGGGCCTTCAGGGATTACCTACCTTAGAGTGGGGAGCAACAGTTTGATTTTCTCAAATTACTGAGCTGATGAGCCTTTGTTTGAAGCAATCAACTCGAACGACACTGAGGTATGAGAATTCCCGGTGTATATGGGAGGTGGCTGCTTAGCCCCAGAGCTCACTGGCCTGGCGATGTAACGTTCTGCCTTTTACTAACCCCATCTTGATTTGAATCAGAGATCGAGCTAATCCGTGTCTCTTCTGTGTGCCTCAGAGGTGTTTTGCATTTCGTTTACTCCACCGTGTATAATATTTATATTGTGCAATGTTAAAAAAATATGTTATATTGTATGTGGTGTACATAGTGCAAAGTGATTATTTCTATTTCAGGGCATATTAATATTCTCCTATTCCTTCCTACCTGGTGTGCAGTAGCTTTTTAATACTAGTCACTTCTAATTTAAACTTCTTCTTCCTGGGTCCTTGACTGTTATTGTGTAACACTCAGTTTCCTTGAAACTGCTGCAGAATTGAGCTGTTAGCGGACTCCCTTCTGACGCTACCTCTCCACCACCCTACCAGCCCCAGCACACTCAGACGCCCCAAGTCCTCGCGCCAGACCTGTGGCCCCAGGGGTCGCCCCCGGAGGAGTTAGACGAGAGCACGCAGCTGCGACCAGCGTGTGAAACGTAACTCGAGGGGCACGAGAAACAGATTTTTCTGCGAGCAGTATCCTCCTCTGTCAACCCCCCACATTACTTAGTCACACAGTCTTCGTACTTAACAGTGCAGCCAAATATATGTTGAATTAAAACCCCACTTAAAAGTCTACTTTAATACATCTGCTTGCTAAGAACAGATTTTAGTGCTCTGAGCTTCAAATGCGAAGATTTGTGCGAGGGAACTCGATAGGAGTCTAACCGCTCTCTTAGCAGAGCATGAATAAACCGTACACAGACTCTGATACCCCAAATCTTCTGTCATTCGGAAAAGTAAAATCATTACAAAAGACTGTCGTTTTCATGGTTTGAGTTGTAATCAATACCTAGAGTCTAACCATTGAGCAACAAGTTTTTACATGCTAATATGCAATGTAACCTCTAGAATAATCCAGGAAGACTTTAGCGTCCTTTCTACAGTCACCCCAGAACCAAGACTGCAGAAGCCCACGAAGAACTTACAGCCTGCCTGAGATCATCCCGCCTACAAACTGAGTTATTGCTTTGTCCTAAAAATTAGTTGTTTTTTCTTTTTTTCCCTATGAGGCTTTTCGGAAATTTACAGGATGCCCGTACTTTAAATGTGTACAAAAAAAAAAAAAAAAGATAAAAATAAAGGTGCAAAGAAAGTTTAGTATTTTGGAATGGTGCTATAAAGTTGAATCTGTTGGTATTTGAGTGCATTTTTTTAATGTCACATAAGAGATATCGGGTGGCATGTGCTCAGAAATAACTATTCAAATGTTTTGTTTGAGGTTGAGAATGATAGAAAATCCGTTTTCATTGGCGAATGTGGCCTATTCAGAAACTAGTTACGCTGTTTTTGAAAAGTTATAATAGAGAATGGTTTTTTAAGGGGTGGATGAGCGGCTGGATGATACAGTGTGAGCTATTAACTACCTCTTTAATGGAAAGAATCTGGCCTTTGCCCTGAAATCCATCCATTTAAAAACTGTTGGAAATCTTTCATTTCCTGTCAAACCCATGGACCAATTCCCATTATCTGTTCACCTGCAAGGAAGCAGAGAAGGTATTATAAATGAGCCAAAAATGACAATCCAAACAACCTACCTTCTTCTTGCTGAGTTGTGTTTCACTTCTTTATCGGAGAGCTGGGAGCCCAGCCGCCTGACGGTTCCTGCCCTCCGTCCTCCACCCTCACCCCCGTCAGCACCACAGAGAACTTGCTAGTCAGGCGAGCTTTCAAAACTGCTGAGACCTATTTTTGGTGATAGTATATAACCTGCTAAGATGTCTCCTTCTTCGTTAACTCAGCAGAGAGGTGTCGAGCACACACTGCGTGCCCAGCCCTGTTCTAGGCTCCCGGGAGTCGCTCATGAGCAAAGACCCTGTTTACAATCACATGATAGGCTTTGGGGTCAGACGGTGACAGACACAGTTTCCAAATGTGGTGCTTACGTGTTGAGCACACGTAGTGCATTTTTGTTGACTGAAATCTAAGGCTCTAGCCTCTAGCTGTAGCTCCTTAGAATGCGGTGGGAACCGCTGTGGACTGAATAGCAAGGAGACTGAGTCAAGGCTCAGCGCCAGGCTGACCTGTAAGTACTAGGAAAAACGGTCTCCGAGGCCCCCTCCTGGCCCCTAAAAGGGGAGTCTGCGGCCTCTGGCTCCTTTCCTGCTCGTGCTCATGTCAGGGTGCGTGTGTGTTCTGGAGTGGAGGGGACAAAGCCTATCACGGGACCCAGTGATGCCAGGCCGCGGGGTAAGCCCTTGGAAATGCAGGAATCGACCGAAACTCTACGAGAAGACCTTATCAAGGCCTTCTTTGTCCTCGGGTCCCACAGACCCTGCCGTGTGCCCATGCCCATCTAGCTCCCCGTCGCCACACTCCCTGCTTCTGTCCCCTGGTTCCCCAGTCCTGCTTTTGTTTGATGATGCTCCAACTCCTCCAAAACGCCACAGTCCAATGACCAAGTTAATTCACTTCGGGTTGTAAACATAGGAAACCCTGAGGGGAAATTGGGGCAAGACCATCAACTGTGTTCTTCCTGAGTCTGATTTCAGGGACTTGAAGTTTTACCCCAGCTTTTTCAAAGCATATTCTAAGAAACGGAAGAGCGAGCTCAAAAAACAAAAACCACCAAAAACTCTACATATTCTCCCCTTGGCCATCTGAAATCCATATTATTATAGAAAAGACTGAGAAGTCGTACAGAAAAGAAGCGTGTTTATCCCAAACATTTCCTGACTTGATTAACCTCGGAACCCTTTTTTTTCCTCCTGTGAACTCGCTGCAGAGCTTTGGTAGATTACCCGCATTAGTTGAAGAGCCTGCCTCACTTCCTAACTGCCTTATTGCTCGCTCACCCAGAGTGCGTTACACCTTAAACTGAAATGGCGATGAAATCTTCTCTTGCTGTCCCTGTGACCTTGAGCAAGGTACTTAAATTCTTTGAGCCTCAGTTTCCTGACCCATAATACGGGGTAATGCTGACCTCAGGATTGGTGAGGATTAAAGGAGATGATTTTTTTTTTTTTAAGATTTTATTTATTTATTTGACAGAGACACAGCGAGAGAGGGAACACAAGCAGGGGGAGTGGGAGAGGGAGAAGCAGGCTCCCCGCCAAGCAGGGAGCCCGATGCAGAGCTCGATCCCGGGACCCTGGGATCATGACCTGAGCAGAAGGCAGTCGCTTAACTGACTGAGCCACCTAGGCGCCCCTGGGCTGAGCTTTCTCATGGGTAATGAGTAGCTTTTACTTGGGCATTCAAATCAGTCTCCCTTCTCCTAGCTAAAGACACTTTTAAATTTTCTTAACCTTTTCTGACTTGGAAGACACCCCTACTTTTCCATCTAGAAAACACTGAAAACATGATGGCTGTGCATGTTTTAGGAGGAGAGATCAGTGAAGGAGCAGAGAAGAGGACATTCATTGGTTTTGGTTTTCTATAGACCTGGAAGACAACTTCTTTTTTTTTTTTAAGATTTTATTTATTTATTTGACAGAGGGAGACACAGCGAGAGAGGGAACACAAGCAGGGGGAGTGGGAGAGGGAGAAGCAGGCTTCCCACCGAGCAGGGAGCCCGATGCGGGGCTCGATCCCAGGACCCTGGGACCATGACCTGAGCTGAAGGCAGATGCTTAACGACTGAGCCGCCCCGGCTCTCCTAAAGGAGATGATTCTATAAAGACCTGGTAACCTGCGTGATCACTGTGTATTACCCTGGGCACACAGACACACACTTCCTTTGGTGGTGCCCTCAAGCATGTTTAACAGAAGTTTAAAATCTCGCCTAGGAGACTACCTTCCTGTTTTCAGAAGCAGCCACGCAGTTTGTGTGACTTTTTTGGTTTCAGTTTTCTAGTAAAAACCATAAAGGCTTAGTCAATTGACTGCCTGTGTCTGGCGGGCAAGGTGATTGCGCTTAATTTCTCTAACACAGGTCAGTTTGGGGACTTGGACATCCAGAGATAGTGGGAGGCCTCACCTGTAACATCACAGGCCCGGGGGGAGGCATATTCGGAAGACAGTCGTGCACCAGGCTTTGTCCTTTCCTGCCCCCGAACGAAACAGTGGCTAGGAACATCTTCTGGGGGTCAGATGGAGCAGGTGGCTGACCGCAGTGTTTTACTTTGCTGTTCGTTTTCGTCTGGTGCAGAGAGCAGAGAGCGTTCCTGAAGAAAAGGAACTCTATCTTCACACTGAGCTGGAGATGGGCCACGTTTCTGTGGGCTACCAAAAAAGGAATTCAGGACGCTCTTCCTTTCCATGCGGGCTTAAGGTCAGGTAAATAAATGAACCTTGAGCTTTGATCTTCTGCATAAATTTGGTATTTAGATGGCCCAGGATCTGTATGGTCTACGCACTGTAGATTTTTCCAAAGACTTAAGGAACCTAAACTTGGATTCAGCCCCTTGAAGATATCCTTGTCCAAACAAAAGCAGTTTCTTATGGCAAAAACCGGCGGCATTTATAACACCGCTTCCTAGTAAGTGGTGATTATTTCACATTTGGATGTTTTTTGCACTTGAAAGAATGTCATGGCTATTAGTTGTCTTCACAGAAGCCTCGGTATAAAACTTTATAACATCCGTTCTCCAGAATCAGAAGCATAGGCTGACACGCAAAGTAGTTGGAACCAAACTGAGACCTCCCCTTTCCAAGAATGTGTTTGCCTAAGAAATGTTTTCAGCTCTACGCAAAATCCAGAGGATCCAAGGACTTTTAAAAAAGAAGCCATGGTGTGCATTGGCCACAGTTTGGGGGAGGGGGGTCTCTTGTAAAACCTCATCATCAAGACATGATGTCAGATGCTCACTCTACATTTGTACCTCTGTTGAAAGGAACGTAGTCCAAATTTAAAACAAAATCTGCAAAGTCTGGGCGGTGCTCTGTCCTTGTATGACAAATTCTTTCAAGAGTCTCTCCTTACTGCGGTCTTCATAATCCATAGTATTATCTGTAGGTTTTGTGTTGAGATGCAGATGTAACTTTGACCCTCTCCCGGGTATAAGCAGCCCATGTTACAGGTCTCTGACCTCTGAGGCTTTCCTGGGCCTCCCTCCTCATCCTCACACCCAGTGAATTCCTACAGGCAACTCATGATTACATCCCTGCTGGACACAAGATACTCAACCAAAGACTAAGATGCCCAGGAGATGTCAGATTTTCTGCCCTTCCGGACCTTCAAATATACTACCAAACTTGTCCTGGAATTTAAATTTCTTCAAAAAGTACTGTTGGGCCCATGGGCTTTCATAGATGACACTTGATGAGAAATTGGAATGAACCTAACCCGAGCTAGCTTTTAAAACTGAAATTCCTAGTCATCCAGGGAAGGGGCCTGTCCAGTAGGAACTGGCATGATATTCAGCCCTGTTATCTCAGATGCTCTTGGAAGCTTCCCTGGCTTGGTGGCTGTTAGACTATTCTGCCTACCAAATGACTTCTTTGGTGCCCCTGTCAGACAACGTTTTGGATTTTAATTTCATAGTCTTTTCTTCCCTCTATTCCCTTTTCATTCACCCATTGTGACTCGGAAGACACCTGAGGAATGGGAAGCAAAAAGGGACATATGGGGAGGACATGAGTTGCGCGTGTTTGGATCATGGCTTTAAAAACGCTTGTCTAAGACGAGAGGCTATTTGTTCCCATGGGGGAAGAAATGACATGAGATCTCCTGCACATTGAAGACGAATATACTTTTAGCATGATAAAAAAAAAAAAAAAAATACCCATAAGTGCAATGCTTGTTTTGTTGGTTCAGTGTATTTGTCACCAAATGGTGTGAACATATGGCCAGTCCTTCTCTTGGCCATAAGATCTGAAGGGAAAAGACTCCTGATGGCGAGAAGCCATAGTGATTTATCAAGATGAGTTTCGATTCCAGAGGGAGCTTCGAGTGAAGGCCTCTCTCAGCCAACTTTTCCTGTGCGGGTCCCCTCTCCCCACATGGAACATTTGATGTCTGCTTTGGTGGGTGATTACAGTAGATTGGGATGCATCTGGAAAAAAAAAAATCGGGTTTTGTTAATTAGTGGAATTGCATCTTGGTGGACCTTGTTTTCAAAAATTAAATTTGATATTAGTTTGGGGGCTCAGAGCACTGAGCAATCAAATCTTGATATGAACTGACATCTCTTCCCATCCACCCAGAACCTGTCTTTAAGGGC